ATACATGGAATTATATTCTTTACAGCAGTTTCTTTCCCTGTCATATCACAATATCTGTTATACTTTTTGGGTGTTATTACTTTTTCAGTTTTTTGTTACTATTTTTATACCAGAGAGACAATACGATATTTACACACGTGAGTGTGATTTATTTCACTTATGCGGATAGACTGAAGTTGCCTCCATTTACCTATAAAAGCCTCAAGAACATCCCTTTTCATAGCTGAGTAATATTCCATTGGGCAAAAATGCCACACCTTTTTCATCCATTCTGTGGTTGATGGGCATTTTGGTTGTTTCCAAGATTTAGCTAGTACAAATTGTGCTGCTATAAACCTGGGTGCACATATATCACTGAGACATGACCTTTTCAATTTTTCTGGGAAAATACGCAGGAGGGGAATAGATGGATTGAATGGAACTTGTAATCCTATGTTGTTGAGGAATCTCCATACTGATTTCCATCATAGCTGCACCGGTCTGCTCTCCCACCAATATTGGAGCAGTGTTCCGTTTTCCCGCAGTCTTGCCAACATTTGTCATCAATTGATTTTTTTCTTGTTTTGCTTTAATTTTGTCTTTTGCTTTTTATCAGTACCAGGGATCAAACTCTTGACCACACACTTGCAAGGCAGGCGCTTATGCCGCTGAGCTAAATCCCCAGCCATTATTAGTTGATTTCTTGATGGCAGGTATTCTTTCTGGAATGAGATGAAATCTCAACGCTGTTTTAAATTGCATTTCTTGAATGACCAGTAATGGTGAACATTTCTTCATGTATTTATTTGCCATTTGAATATCGTCCTCTGAGAACTGTGTGTTCATGTTGATGCCCATTTTTGGAGAGGGTGTTTGAATTTGGGGGCTTGATGATTTTGAATACTTTGTATGTTCCGGATATAAGTGCTTTGACTAAAGTACTTATAGCCAGGGGTTGCTGGCTGTCTTTCCCATTCTGTGGGTTTTCATTTCATTTCATTTGTTGTTGATTTGTTTTGACACACAAAAACTCTTTAAAAGAGTAGGTCCCCCAGGCACTATTTTAAAATCAAGTCCCAAGCAGGAAAAAGATGGTGGAATGACAGCCAGCTCAGTAACCTTAACTGAGCCACAATCAGCCATCTCCACCTTCTCAGCTCAGAGAAATTTTGCTGCATCACGGGTTGAAACTTTCGCCTCTAGGGAGCAGAGCGGTTTTCTCTGTCTCCCTTGCAACTGATGCTGAAAGAAGCCAGATGGGCGGGAGTGCGGGGAGGGTTTCCTCATGTCTACCCGGTTACTAAACTTCCGATCCCCGATAGTCCTGGACAAATTATAATCACTCAGGCCGTCAGGTCACAGCCTAAAGGAAAAAGAAAGAAGAAAGGTGTTTGTCTTCAATGTGGAGGGGAGGGCACATGTTGCCAGTAGCTGTGCTGCTGCACCTGTGGGGACAGCACAGCCACCATCTGTCCCTTCAACACAACCTGCTGCCCTCCGTCCACAGTGTAGATCGTGGTCTCGTTGGGCCACTTGATGTAAATGAAAAACTGACGTGGAAGGCCTTCCTGTTCCAGAAGAAACACTTCCAGGGGGGCCTGCAGCAGCTTAGGGGTGCTCGGGCTCGGACAGCTTCCCTGAGATGGACAGCCAGGATCCTCCTGGTGGTGGTGGTGGGGGGGGGGTAATGTGGTCCTGATTGGTGGTTTGCTGATTTTTATTTACCAAATATTCTCACAAAAGACAATTTCAAATAACCAATACAACAACCAGCATAAGAAACTTCTAAAAATCCAATAATTGGCTTTCACAGGCTGGCGAGAGGCTGCCTCCTGCATGTCACTGGCTCACTAAGGCTTTGCAGTGAGCCTCAGCATCTCATAGTGTAAATCCCAATAAGGGTACTTGCTTCAAAGTCACGATTAATATAATTCTACATTTATTTAGTTCTTTTTTGCTTTCTTGTCTCAACTTTCATTTCCAGCGCACTGGCACCAGACAGCTTGCTAACTTTCTTGAGTTTGTTTCCAAAGGAAGGAATTCTAAGTTTACATACATGGGAGGAAACGGGAAAACGGCTTGGAAAACGGCTTAGAGCACGGCTGATGAGAAAATGAGCAAACGTAAGTCTCCCTGGGCCTCCACAGACTTTAAAACTATTGTTTAACAGGAGAAACGGGCTGTCTGCTCCTTTCACCACTTCTCACAGCCCCCAGGCAGGGGAGGGACCCAAAGAGCTCCAGGAGCCTGGGGCTTGGCCCAGACATGGAGGGGAGAAACAATGTTGCCTGTGTCAGCTGTAAGGGAGAAATGTTGTGGTTCTAATGTAACATAATGTTGGAAGACTTAATATTGGTTCTTCAATCTGTGCTAAGTTGTTGAAGTTGTAAAACGTTAAAAATAAACATGCTAGCTACAAACTGATTGAAAGCAATGTGTCAGGCGCAGTGTTGGCTGGTAATGGCTGATACACTGTGTCAACCTGAAGTTTGGAAGCTGGCTGAGTGACTCCTGGAGGGACCCGGTTCTTCTGCTTCCCCTCCTGTGCTCTTGCTACCTTTGCTGTCTTCCCTGCCATGACCTGTTACTCTCTCAGACTCGTTCAACAGGCCTCTGTTTCCCCTGCCATGTTCCACAAAAACGCTTCTGCCTTATGCAAACAATTCCATTTAACCTGCATAAAGGCTCAAAATTGTTAAACTTGCTCAAAATTACTTACAAAAACAAAAGAGGACAGTTTTACCTAGACTTCATTGGGCAGTATGTACAGTTACAGTTTAAATCCTGCTAAGGAGGGAACCACAGCAGCAGCAAGACAATCAGTCAGGTAAATGGAAGAAGCCAGGAAGGGTCCTTCAGAGAGAGCTTCATCCTGGACAGTGCGAATTTGGGGTGGAGGGTGTGCTTCTGTTTTTCCAGGAAATGCTAAATGGGTGCCAGAGCATACTGCCTGGCTGTATCATGGACCCAAACCCAGAGAAGGAGGTGATTCCACCTCTCACAAAGCTGATGCTCAGTCCTGTGACAGTGATGCCTCAGAGACCACGCAAAAGCCCATAGAATAGCGTGAAGCTAGAACCAGCCTTAACTGACCCAGGATGCTCAGGAATGGTAACCAAAAATAAAACCAAAGGTCTAAATTTATGATAGGAGTGTATGCTCAGTGCTACATCAAAAATAGATGTGAATTATAGATAAGATTTTGTCCTTTCCAAATTCTTTTACAAGAGAGCTCTGCTAATTGACTTACCACAAATCTGACAAGCCTATTAATAGTTACAAATTCTACAATTGTAAAAGGCTAATGTGATTCAGTTTGGCTAACAGATATTTGAGTACCCTGTGATTGTGTAAGATGTCTGTCAGTCTGCCTGTGTATCTGTTTGTCCATTCTGTTAAGCTGTTGTTGGGAGTCCACTGAGCTAGTGATTGTTCACCCATGTAGAGCCAAGAGCACAAGTGCCCCTACAGGAGTGCTCACGGGCACAGAGTGCCTGAGAAGCTCCCTGAGGGCATGGGGTGCTGGAGGACACAGGGTGTAAGAAGCGAGCTAGTTCAGCACTAGGGCAGGATACAAGTGTGTATCAGCCCCTCCCCGGGAACTTATTTATAACACTGAGAAACTTGTTTCTATGTGTGTTCAAATCTGTACAGACCCTCTGTTCATGTTTGTCCATTTGTCCATCATATAAACAAGCTATTCGAGCACCAGGAACGCAATGGGCCCAGGCTAGCCAGGTAAACAACTTGCTAGGCAGCAGGCTGAAACTGATCTTCATCTTTGGAGTTGTATGGAGGGTATAAATAAAGGTGCTGCAGTGGTTGAGTGGTTCCTTTCCGCCCATCAGGACGATGAGGGCTCCACCTGACCCCAGCTTTTTCTGTTATTCATGTTGTCATTCCCTGGGGTCTCCCCCAACCAAGAACCTCAAGAGCCCCATGGGTCGCTGCCACAAGTCATCAACCATTCCAAGTGTCTATGATTAAAAGCAACTGAAGGCAGCACAAGGGTGACATTTCAGCCAGTAGAGAGGGACTGTCCCGTTCTCAGTTGCAAGGACTGAGCCAGTGTTCACATGCAGGGTCCAGTGACTGAAGAGCTGTCCATGCCTGTAGGAAGAAGATCCCAGAGACGATATCACAAATGCCCTATGTTCAGGGACCCCACAGCCACACCCTCAGGAGACCACACTGGGAAGGAGGAATTGGCAGGATGCTGAGGGTGGTGTGTGTGAGTTCACGTGGACACCTGATCCCCACAGCACCGCCCTGTCTCCCCCAACACAGTCGGCCAGGGGAGAACCTGGAAGGGGTCTGGGTCACCTTCAGTCTGCACACTGACCTCGGCTCATTTCTGACATGCACAGGGGGCAGTGACGACCTGGCAGGTGGAGGATACCACCCCAGACCCCCAGGGTACACAGAAAGGGCCTGGCTGTGCTGAAGGACAAAGGGAGCCTGCTGACCCCACCCCGTCCTGCCCTGTCATAAGGGATCCTCCCTCCTGTGTCCTGGACAAGAAAAACTGCTGGGAATTGCCACCCACGACCCCCTCCTTATAATAAATCTGAGAATGAAGATTTATTCACCCTTCTTAGGCTTGGCATGTGTTAGAGTTCTCTGTCAGAACCACACAGAAAACCCACTATTTGCGGAGGTCACAATGAATCACTGAAGCCTGTGAGTCCAGGCGTAGCTTTTCTGCATAACGGAATAAAAGCTAAGCGCGCTCCCAGCATGGGCTCCTGTGCACCTATTAGCTACACACGGTTATTTACACAGGTTTATGGCACAGACCTTCACCGTCCAGGGCACTTGCCACCTGTGCACGAGAAGGGTGAGCAAGGTCCGCGTTCTGGGCCTTGGCGGGCTGATGTGAAGCCCAAGGCAGCGCCCAGGGTGCACACAGCCCGCCCAGCTCAGGACTCCTCTGGTTTCACTTCTCCCTCTGCCAACCCGTGTCTGGCCCTTCTGCCTGGACACTGGTGACGCGAGGCCGCTTCTCACCCGCATTGGTTGGCGGCTCCTAACGCAGCCAATGAGAGTCGCCGAAGGTCCTTTTATAAGTCCTCACAGAGGGCCAGGAGCTCAGTCCTCTACCCCCGGATGGCGGAGGTGGCCCCCCGAACCCTCCTCCTGCTGCTGTCGGGGGCCCTGGTCCTGACCGAGACCCGGGCGGGTGAGTGCGGGCGCAGGGAGGCAGGAGCGGCGGGGCCGGCCGGGAGGAGGTCGCGGTCTCACCGCCCCGCCCCGCAGGCTCGCACTCCCTGCGCTACGTCTACACCGCGGTGTCCCGGCCCGGACGCGGGGACTCGCGCTTCTTCACTGTGGGCTACGTGGACGACACGCAGTTCGTGCGCTTCGACAGCGACGCCGAGAATCCCCGCGAGGAGCCGCGGGCGCCGTGGATGGAGCGGGAGGGTCAGGAGTATTGGGACGGACAGACACAGATCGCCAAGGACAGCGCACAGACTTACCGAGTGGACTTAAGGACTCTGCGCGGCTACTACAACCAGAGCGGGGACGGTGAGTGACCCCGGCCGGGTCAGGGGTGTGCCCGCCCCACAGAGAGTCCCAGTGGTCCCGGGTGTCCACGTCCGAGGTTCGTGCGGACACCCCGGCCTCGGGAAGCGCGGGGACCGCGACTCGGTTTCATTTTCAGTTTGGAAGGAAAATCCCGGGTGGGGGCGGGGCTGACGGCGGGGGCGGGGCTGACGGCGGGCTGACGGCGGGGGCGGGGCTGACGGCGGGGGCGGGGCAGCTTCTCACACCTTCCAGAGGATGTACGGCTGCGAGGTGGGGCCAGACGGGCGCTTCCTCAGCGAATACATGCAGGACGCCTACGACGGGAAAGATTACATCGCCCTGGCCGAGGACCTGAGCACCTGGGTGGCGGCGGACACTGCGGCTCAGATCACACAGCGCAAGTGGGTGCAGGCCGGTGAGGCAGAGCGATACAGGGCCTACCTGCAGGGGAAGTGCGTGGAGTGGCTCCTCAGATACCTGGAGCACGGGAAGGAGAAGCTGCAACGCGCAGGTACCGGCCCAGAGGACCTCCCCATCTGCGCTCTGGCTGGGCCGGTGTCTCCTGGGGATGAAACTGGACCCTTCCCCAGTACTGCTGCCCTCTCCTGTCCTGGGGAACAGCACCCCTGGGATTGCACAGCGGATAGCAGATTGCTTCTCTGAGCCCCCTTCTCTCAGGAGAGGAAGAGTCTGTCCCTCATGGGAGGGAAAGATCTCTGAGGTGTGCTCACCCTGTCCTTCAGGAGGCTGTGAACCTGAACTCTCTCAGGCTTGTGCTGTGCCCCACACCCAGTGTCTGTGGAGCTCTGACTATGCTTATTCTGGCCTCTCAATCTCCACCCACTCAGGACAAAGGTCCCCTTCCCTCCCCCAGAGACCTACAGCCTCCTCCCAAGGCCAACTCACCCTGATTCTAGAATTGTCTGACTAATAAATCATCCCAACCGCCACTGTCCAGCATGGTGTCCTAGGTTTGCAGCCACCCCAAGTACACTTGTCCTGTCTATTCTCAGGATGGTCACAGGACTGCTGCCTGGAGTGGCCCAGGAAGTATGCAAAGAGCCTGAATTTTCCTTTCTTACCCTCAGACCCTCCAGAGGCACACGTGACCCGCCACCCCACCTCCAAGGAACAGGTCACCCTACGGTGCTGGGCCCTGGGTTTCTACCCTGAGGAGATCTCCGTGACCTGGCAGCGGGATGGGCAGAAGCTGACCCAGGAGATGGAGCTGGTGGAGACCAGGCCTGATGGGGATGGAAACTTCCAGAAGTGGGTGTTGGGAGCCGCCGACACCGGTCCCCTTACTTGGCGGACGTAGGGCCTGTGGGTGGGGGCGGAGCCTGAGCTAGATTGCCCCTCCCATTGAGTGAGTCAAGTTGGCGCCTGCTTCCTGCCCCCTGATTGTGCTGGCGACTTAAACAACCCGCTCTGTAAGATAGTCTGCCTAGCAACAGCTGATGTTAGCCAGTCAGCCCGCATCGCGCGCTTTGAACTGATTGGCTACTGTTGCCCTATAAAAGTGAATGCCTTTCCCGCCACGAGAGGAAGCACAAAGAGAGATAGAGAAAGTCCACCGGCGAGAAAGGGCTGGTGACAGAGAGGAGGCCTCGCGGGGCCCACGTGGAGACAAATAAAGGCAAGGTTGCACACTGTCAGAATCTGTCGCGTGTTCTTCCTGCAGGCCAGGAGCGACATCGACATTTGGTGGCCCGCACGGGGACTGATCAACCCCGAGACACGGCGGTGGTGTGCAACGCTCCAGCGTGGTGCTGCCGGACAGGTGAGTTGGGGATAAGCCTGGGCTCTGGGTGGCGCGCACCTACAGGGCTTTTAGACTCCCCTCAGGCTCACGCGTAGGTGACGGGTTCTTTAAGTCACACGCGGTGAGTTACAGCCCTTAGAGGTTAGAGATGGGTAATTTACGGAGCGCGGAGGCGCGGCCCTTGGTAAAGGCCCTTAGAAAGCTTTTAAAAGCTAGAGACCTCAGGGTAGGTCAAAAAACACTGGAACTATTCATAGCAGAGGTAGATAGGGTAGCTCCCTGGTTTTTACCCACGGGGCATTTAAACCTGCCGTCATGGGAGAAGTTAGGCGGGGACCTCGCCTCGGCGGAACTGGAAGGGGATATTTCGCCGGCTATTCGCCCCCTGTGGGAAATGATACATGCGTGCCTTGAAGGGGAGGGGAAGGGGTTCCCGTCAGCAGTTAGAGACGCGGAAATCATAGACGCACGCAAGGCTTTTGAGCAGGCAAAGTCGGAATGCTCTCGGGAGGGATCTGTCCAGGGGGAAAAAATCCAGGGAAAGATAGAGGACACCCAAGCTCTAGAGTCCTCCGACTTAGATAGCGAGGAGGAACCAGAAGGTGGGGCAGGAAGCCGAGAGGCCAAAAACCCCTATGCCGAGTTGCGTCGTGAATTGGAATTGTGTGCGTGCGCCGCCCGGGAAAAGCAGAGAGAGGAGAAAGGGCCCCTGAGCGCTCTCTGGCGGGGAGGAGACAGAGAGCCATCCGCCCCGCCCTGGAGCTCTTTTCCAGAAGCGGCTCCCCGCCGAGAGGCCGCTACAGGGAACCCTCCCTTCTCTCAGCCGGCACAGGAAGTGACGCCCCGTTCCACTCTGTCGCGACCGCCGTCTTATGACGCTGCGCCGCGGGTCGGACGATATTTTCATGGGCGGTTATGGAGGGGTGAACGATGGCCCGGAGGGGATCCACCGATGCAAGGAATGGATTACGGTCTTTATGGAGTATATCCTGTGCAAATGGCCCCAGGCCAAGGGCGCAATGTTTGGGAACCGTTTGAAATAAAACAGATTAGAGAATTAAAAAGCGCTGTCACAACCTTCGGGCCCACAGCTCCTTATACTATAGCTATGCTAGAGAATCTTGCCTCTCAGCCTCTTACACCAGGTGATTGGATGCAGCTGGCCAAGGCATGCCTTCCTTCGGGTAGTTATCTTGATTGGCGAGCCTGGTATGCCAAGTTTGCCATCGAGCAAGCAGAAAAGAATGTTAGCAGGGGGCATGCAAGGTGGAACGAAGATATGCTCCAGGGCTCAGGTAAATATAGGGATGACCAAACTCAGTTCCCCAATGAGGTGTATGACCAAATCTCTAATATTGGGCTCTGCGCATGGAAACAGGTGAACGGTGCGGGGGCGGCCTCATTATGCCTTTCAAAGATAGTGCAGGGTGCCACAGAGCCATTTGTTGATTTCGTGGCTAGGATGCAAGACGCGGGCGATAAAGTTTTTTCAGACCAAGAGGTGGCAAAGCCCCTGATCAAACAACTCATTTTTGAACAATGCACAACAGAGTGCAAAGCGGCTCTTGCCCCGCATAAAAACAAGGATCTCAATGCTTGGATTAGGATTTGTAGGGAGATTGGAGGGCAGATGACTGCAGCAAAGCTTGCGGCGGCCTTTGTAGCCGCGACAGCACAAGCTAAGGATGCTTCTGGACCTAAGCGAGATCGTAAGCCCAAAGGATGTTTTGGCTGCGGGGAACCAGGGCATATTAGGAGAGACTGTCCGCACAGTGTTAATACACGGGAAGGGCCAATAGGCGTGTGCGAACGATGCAGGAAGGGAACACACAAAGCGAAAGATTGCAGATCAGTTTTTGATGCCCAGGGAAACCGTATTAGTGGCAGGGGGATTCAGGAGCCAAAAAACGGCCAGAGGGGGCCCTCCTTACGGACGGGCCCCCGCCCCCTAGACAGGACAACACAAGGTGGCAGCCCTCCACAAGGGCTACCCCTGGGTCAGCAGGCGTGGACCTCTGTGTCGCCTCCAGACTCCTATTAGCGCCCGATATGGGCGTTCAGGTGGTCGGGACCACCTTCAAAGGACCGCTACCTGAAAAGTCAGTTGGTTTAGTGATTGGACGGTCCTCCACAGCCCTCCGGGGCCTTACCGTGCTCCCTGGGGTTATAGACTCAGACTACACAGGAAACATTAAGATTATGGTCCAATCTCATGTAGGGACCATGGTGATTAATGAGGGGGATAAGATAGCACAACTTTTATTGCTCCCCAGTCTCCATGAGAGATTCCAGTCTAGACAACGGGTTAGAGGGGATCAGGGTTTTGGCTCCTCTGGAGAAATTTTTGAAGGACTTCATATGACTCTTGATAAAAGACCCATGCTCTCGCTCAGGGTTAATGGTAGAAATATAACAGGACTCCTGGATACAGGGGCAGACCGCTCCATTGTCTCCAAGAGGGACTGGCCTTCTAGCTGGCCCACCAATACAGCTGATAACACACTCCAAGGGTTGGGGATGGTGGCTGCCCCCCAGGTTAGTGCCGTGACCCTGCCTTGGTGTGATGAGGAGGGTCACCAAGGACATTTTCAACCTTTTGTTCTACAGCTGCCGGTATCTTTGTGGGGAAGAGACATCCTCACTCAGATGGATGTCACTCTTACATCCACCTGCTCTCCCCAAGCCAAGGGTATACTTAAGAATCAGGGATATGTCCCCGGCAAGGGCCTGGGCTCTGCCCTGCAGGGCCGGACATCTCCCGTACCTGTAGAAAAAAGGGAAGGTAGACACGGGCTGGGTTTTTCCTAGGGGCCGCTGAGGAAGTTCTCCTGCCTACTCCAATTAAGATCACTTGGAAGTCCCTGAATCCGGTTTGGGTACCTCAGTGGCCCCTACCCAAGGAGAAGCTTTTAGCATTAACCGAGATAGTCAAAACCCAGCTTCAGGCAGGGCACATAAAGCCATCAACCTCCCCTTGGAATACCCCTGTTTTTGTTATTAGAAAGAAATCAGGTAAGTGGAGGCTGCTCCATGATCTAAGGGCGGTCAACGCGCAGATGCAGCCCCTGGGGGCGGTCCAGAGGGGGCTGCCAGCTCTCTCAGCCATCCCTCAGTCCTGGCCAGTTTATGTTATAGATCTTAGAGACTGTTTCTTCTCAATCCCCCTGCATCCAGAGGACACCCATAGGTTCGCCTTTACCTTACCCACCATTAACCAAGAAAGCCCTGATCTCAGATACGAGTGGATAACGCTGTCCCAAGGTATGGCCAACAGTCCCACTATGTGTCAGATTTACCTTGATTCCCTACTGGCCCCCCTACGCAAAGCCTTCCCCAGAGTTAGGTGCATTCATTACATGGATGATCTGCTGATCAGTGCGAAGGACATAAATAGGTTAGAGGATATGCTAGGCCAACTGGTCAAGGCCCTGAGAAAGGCTAATTTACATATTGCCCCTGACAAGATTCAAGGAGGAGACATAGTGACTTACTTGGGTACCAAAGTCTCCCCTACATCGATTTCTCCACAGAAGGTAACCATCAGAACAGATAATCTTACAACCCTAAATGACATGCAAAAGTTACTGGGAGATATAAATTGGATCAGACCTTACTTGCACATCCCTAATTCGGACTTAAAGCCCCTGTTTGATCTCCTGAGAGGGGATCCGGATATTGCCTCCCCTAGAGAGTTCACCCCAGAGGCCAGAGTTGCTCTAAAGAAGATAGAAGAGGCCCTAAGCAAAGCTACATTACAGAGAATTGACCCAGAACAGCCTTTTGAGGTCTGCTTGTTGCAGACCAGTTCCCAGCCCACGGCAGTGATTTGGCAGAAAGGACCACTTCTGTGGGTGCACCCTAAGGTTTCACCTGCCAAGATTATTGAACATTACCCGGAAGCAGTTGCTTCTCTGGCTCTGGAGGCACATAGTAGAGCCATCCAGCATTTTGGCTCCACGCCTCACGCTATTCGGGTGCCTTATACCGCTTCTCAAATAAAAACTCTGACTGCTTGCATAGATACTTGGGCCATCCTGAGATGTGTATTTCTTGGGGAGATAGACAATCAGTTCCCTAAGGACTCTATACTACAGTTTATTACTCAACATCCGGTGATATTTCCAAAAATCACCGCCCCTACACCCCTTACTCCTGCAACAACAGTCTATACTGATGGGTCAAAAACCGGGATAGGGGCCTATGTGGTCTCAGGCATGCCTCCAGTTAACATACAGTTTGAACCAGATCAACCACAGGTGGTGGAGTTACAAATTGTACAAACCATCCTCGAGAAGTTCCCAGGGGCCCTTAATATTGTTTCTGATTCAAAATATGTTGTCAATGCCATGCAGGTCCTTGAGACTGCAGGCCCAATTAAACCAACCTCCAAAGTAACTAACTTGTTTTTGTCTATCCAGACATTGCTCATAAATAGACACAACAAAATATACATCACTCACATAAGAGCACATACACACCTACCAGGGCCCATGGTACAGGGCAATGCGGCTGCTGACGCGGCCACTCGCCCGTTATGGATTTTCAATATGTTATCTCCAATAGAGCAAGCCCGTCAGTTCCATGACAAATTCCATGTCAATGCCAGGATGCTAGCCAACCAGTACCGCATCTCCAGGGCTGACGCGCGGGACATCGTGCGACTGTGCGGCTCATGCGCCACACACACGCCTGCCATATCAATGGGGGTTAACCCCAGAGGGTTGATCCCTGGCGATATTTGGCAAATGGATGTCACACACATGACAGAATTTGGATCTCTTAAGTATGTCCATGTCTCCACGGACACCTGTTCTCATATTATATTCGCAACTGCAGAGACAGGTGAAAAGGTATCTAATGTGATCAATCACTGCTTAGCGGCTTGGGCCGCGTGGGGCAAGCCCAAAATATTAAAGACAGACAACGGACCAGCCTATACAGGAAAAGCCTTCAATGAGTTCTGTAAGACTATGGAAGTACACTTAAAACATGGTATCCCATATAATCCTCAAGGCCAAGGAATTATTGAAAGAGCTCATAAAAGCCTCAAAGAAATCTTATGTAAACAAAAAGGGGGAGTAGGCCAGGGCCTGCCCCCAAAGGCACGGCTATCCATGGCACTATTCACATACAATTTTTTAAACCTGAACAATAACAACCACCCCCCGGCTATGGAGCATTGTAATCCATCTCCTAGCAATAAGGGATGGGTAAAATGGAAAGATGTCCTGACGGGACAATGGATGGGCCCGGATCCGGTAGTCAGCTGGAACCGAGGTGCGGTTTGTGTTTTCCCGCAGGAACCGGGACGAGAACCATTGTGGGTCCCAGAAAGACTGACGCGTGCGACAAGCCCTTCGACTGAAGACTAATCCTGTCCTGCCGGAGACCAGCAGCAGGCCTGACAGCCAGATGAACCCGAAAAAGGCTGCTTTTTTCGTTGGGGGCGTTGTCCTAGCACTCCTCAGGATAAGTATGGTACATGCGGGGCTGGGGGGCCCCGCTTCTGGAATAGATCTTCGCACGAGCCTTCTTGGCAGTCCGTGCGATTGCGGAGGTGGCACGGTAAGCAGTATACCACCTAGCGCCAAAAAAGGACCAGGGACCGATTGTGGGGATAAAACAGCATTCTCAGTTGTGTACCCCTCCACTGCAGGAGGATTTAGTCAACCATCCTATCAGTGCATACTTAAGCCTAAGGTGAGTCCCTCAGGGCCTGGTGATCTCGCCACATGTCCCTGCACTAAGTTTGAGGAATCCATGCATGTTACATGCTATACAGAGACAAAACAATGCAAACTTAAGAGTACAACCTATTGGATGGCAACGCTAACTACAACTAAAAGCCCTGTTGCCCCTAACCATATTCCCGCTGCTGTAGGCAGTTCTCCATTCATGCAGTCGGGTTGTAATGGAGAGGTTGGAGAAACGGTCTGTTGGTCTATGACCGCTCCCGTTCACATCTCTGACGGTGGAGGGGTCCAAGACCAGTACCGGCAGGAACAGGTCATTGAGCGATGAGAACAATTAAATCCGTTCCCTGAAGTCAATTACCATCCACTCCTACGCCCAAAATCCCGAGGCATTAACCTTGACCCCGCTACTGAATCCATATTAGAGGCTACCCACAAAGCACTCAATCTTACTGACCCAGGGCTGGCCTCCGATTGTTGGCTGTGTATGATGATGGGAGAATCATGGCCGCTGGCCATGCCGTTTAGAGACTATGAAAGTGAACCTTACAATTATAGCACACCCTATAATTGCTCACATGGGCCTCCATTTCGGGTCCAGTTTATGGGACAGTTTAATGCATCCTGTTTCCAAAAGTACCCACAAAATAATAGTTATGATATTGTTGTTGGAGCGCTGGCAGTCGCCTCGTGTGAGTCCATAACCAATGTAAGTAGTAGCTCGCCGCTATGTGCCCCCTTTGGCAAAGTATTTGCTTGCGGCAATGGTCATGCTTATACCTACCTGCCCAGTAATTGGACCGGCCTATGTGGCCTAGCTTACTTGTTGCCTGACATTGGTATTGTCCCTGGGGACCAACCCATGCCCATCCCAGCTGTGGACACCTTTATAAAAAGACATAAGAGAGATGTACTGATTTTACCTCTCTTGGCTGGTCTGGGGATAACTGGAGCCCTGGCCGCCGGGACTGCGGGCCTAGGAGTTTCATTAACCAAATATACTCAGTTATCCAAGCAATTGATAGAAGACATGTCTATAGTTGAGAGAACCCTTCAGGAGATACAAGATCAAATTGATTCCCTTGCAGAGGTTGTTCTGCAGAATAGAAGGGGCCTAGATCTACTCACTGTAGAGAGGGGAGGTATCTGTATTGCCTTACAGGAAAGATGCTGCTTTTATGCCAACAAGTCCGGAATCGTTCGAGACCGATTAAAGAAACTGCAAGAAGACCTAGAAAAGAGAAGAAAAGAACTACAAGACAACCCCTTTTGGGGAGCCTGGAATGGCTTGCTCCCCTATATTTTACCATTGTTAGGTCCCCTGTGCTCCTTGCTTCTGCTCTTACTTATAGGACCATGCTTGCTCCGATGGGTCACATCATTTATTAATGGGCGCCTTGCGGCGGCCCGGCGTCAAGTACGCCTGGTTGCCCATGCGGCCCTGGCAGCAGCCCGTGATGGGCACAATGACCCCCAGGCTTACGCATGGCTCGCTCGACTGGCCTACGACCGGGTCTAGATGTGGCGGGTCTTCCGCACTCCTTCCCTATTGACACTACACAGCAGGGTAGGTGAGTCAATGACGGGTAAGAGCGTGCCTCCCCAGCACGACTCGACCTAAGCCAGGCCCTACCCCATACTGCACAAAAGCCACTGGATTACTAGAATCTGCCCAGATCTAGATGTCTCTCCGAGGGGATCGCACGGAGGGGCATGAGTGCATGCCTATGTGCATCCAGGTTCCGTCCAGTTCACTCCTGGCCCTGGAAAAAGGACGAGGGTCTCAAGGCCTTGGTGGACCCGGGGACGGCCGACCAGGGTCCAAGCCAAGGGCCTACGGTGGGCCTCAACACAGGGCATAAGCCTCTGCACTCGATCCAGGGCGGGCTGCGATGCATACATTCATTCAAAGTAAATAAAATAGGGGGAGATGTTGGGAGCCGCCGACACCGGTCGCCTTACTTGGCGGACGTAGGGCCTGTGGGTGGGGGCGGAGCCTGAGCTAGATTGCCCCTCCCATTGAGTGAGTCAAGTTGGCGCCTGCTTCCTGCCCCCTGATTGTGCTGGCGACTTAAACAACCCGCTCTGTAAGATAGTCTGCCTAGCAACAGCTGATGTTAGCCAGTCAGCCCGCATCGCGCGCTTTGAACTGATTGGCTACTGTTGCCCTATAAAAGTGAATGCCTTTCCCGCCACGAGAGGAAGCACAAAGAGAGATAGAGAAAGTCCACTGGCGAGAAAGGGCTGGTGACAGAGAGGAGGCCTCGCGGGGCCCACGTGGAGACAAATAAAGGCAAGGTTGCACACTGTCAGAATCTGTCGCGTGTTCTTCCTGCAGGCCAGGAGCGACATCGACAAGTGGGTGGCTGTGGTGGTGCCTTCTGGAGAAGAGCAGAATTACACGTGCCACGTGCAGCATGAGGGGCTGTCTGAGCCCCTCGCCCTGAGATGGGGTAAGGGGGGGTGTTATGTCCTGTTTCTAGATGATGCCCCAAATCCTCGTGCTCATAGGTGAGGTTCATCAGAGGTGGCTGTATACAGGTGTGTGACCCTGGGTGCAGGGTGTGATGACTGGGTCACACTGCTGTTTTGGGTGTGGCTGAGTGGATTAGGGAAGACAGCAGACCCAGCCTGGCTGTGAGTGGGATCCACCAACAGCCTCACAGCCTGAGTGCAGTGAAGAGGGGGAAGCTGCCTGCTTGCTGCTTCCTGCCTGCCGTGCTGTGGGCTGTTTCTCCTCTGTGATGGCCCTGCCGGGCTCCCTGCCTTAAAGTCTCCTGACTGTGGACTGAAACCTCTACAAACTGAACAGAAATGAATCTTATCTCCTTTAACATAGAGGTGTAGGGTTGTTTGTCTCAGCAACAAGAAAGTGATTAAGTCAGATGCGGGAGCTCACAGGAGCTCTTGTGTTTGAAGGCAGGAGTCTTTCTAGAGACCCCCCCTGCAGGCTGGACTGGAGAGCTGGGCCAGGGTCCCTGTTGGTCATTGCTAGGACACAATACCTGGTGCCCAAAAATTAAAGGAGAAAGGATTTATTTTGGCTCCCAGTTTGTAGACATTTCAGTTAAAACTCAGCTTGTTCCCAGGCAGCACTGCAGGGCACAGGGTCTTGGCCATGGAGAGCTGCTCAGGGCAGTGCAGACAGGAAGCAGAGAGAGTAATGAGGGAGCTGAGGAAGGAGAAAAACTCTACCGAGTCACACCCTCAGAGCCCCCCTCTCCCTCCAGACCCTACCTCCTAACAGCAAGTCAGCTCTGAGACCCACACTGCAGTCAGCTTCCAAATGCCTCCATTTGCATGAGGCTGTGGGTTCCACTTAGATACAAGTAAAGCCCCTCACCTCCTCTTTACTTCCTTTGTCTTCCTTTCCTTCCCCTTCTCTCTCCAGAGTCGTCTCAGCCCTCCATCCCCATCCTGGGGGTTGTTGCTGCTGTGATTGTCCTTGTAGCTGTGCTCACTGGAGTAGTTGGCTTTGTGATATGGAGGAGGAGTAGAGCAGGTAGGGGTGGGGTCAGCGTCTTCCTGTTTCACCCCAGGAAGAAATACACCCCATCACCCTGTGGGGCGCCCCCTCCCCACACACATGCTTGCCCAGCCTGGAGTCCTGGACACGGAGCCTGTTGTGAAACAGGGACAATGAGGGACAGATTGGTCACCCAGAGGGCTGTGGTGATGGGGCCCTGATTCCCAGCAGGAAGGTCCCTGCTAGGACAGAGCCTCAGGAGGGCAGTTGGTGCAGGTCCTGACCATGTCCTCCCCTCCTGCCTCTGATCCTTCCCTGAGTCTGCATCCCAGTTCTGGAAACTTCCCTGAGGTCCTGGCCTGGGCAGATCTTCCTGGCTGTCAAGGCCCTGCCTCCTCCCTGGCTTCTCACAGGACATTTGCTTCCCACAGGTGCAAAAGGAGGGAACTACACTCAGGCTGCCAGTAAGTATGGGGGGCTGATTCCTGAGAGCCTTGCGGTTCTGTAGCCAGGAGCCATGGGATCCCCACCTCATGATTCCCCTTCCCCATGTCTGCTGGGCTCTGACCATGTCGTGTTACATTTTCTCCCCAGGGGGTGACAGTGCCCAGGGCTCTGATTCCTCTCTCATGGCTGGTAAGGGTGAGACCCCGGGGGGCCTGAAGTGGGAGAGATGGGCTGAGGCAGAGGGGACACAGCAGGGTCCCTGTCTGACTGTGAGCCCTGTGTGTGAGCAGCGGGCTCCTCTGTTAGTGTTTATCAGGACCTGGGTGCTGTGCCCGGTGTTTGTGTTCACCCTGGGGAGCTGGTGCTCATGTGTAACTCATCTCTGCTTTTTGCTTCTCTGTGCCCCCCATTCCATCCCCTGCCTCCATGTCTAGATCCCCTCCTGTGTGCAGAGAGCCTCTCTCTCAGTGAGCTCCTCAGGATGGTGCCACGTGGAGCCATGGCCCTGACTTTATAACCCTTTTGTCCATAGCGTGAGACAGCTGCCTTGTGGGTGACTGAGCCACTCCACGCTTCTCCAGCCCACGCTCTGTAACCTCAAGATCACCCGAGTCACCTCCCTGCAAACGGCTTCTGAGTGTGTCCATGTTCCTGTGGGCAACGGGGAGGACTATGAGCAGAGCAGTCAGCCCTGGGCAGCAGGACTCCGGTCCCCATGCTGACCCGTGTTCCCTCCTGCTCAGCTCCTGTTCCAGCAGGTGTGGGCTGGGGCAGCTCCTCACAGGGATGAGATGGAGCACAGTGCACACAGCTTCCCCCAGGAATCCTCTTGCTTCTGATTCTGCCTTTATTTTAACAGCCCCACAATAAATCCAGTAGCTTAGAAAAATAGTTTTACTTTGTAACAAGAGGGTATCTGAGTCGTGCCTTGGACAGCTCGTCCTTTTCAGAGGCAGAGGTTTCTTTACATGTTTCCAGGAAATTCACATAGCACATCCTGAATGTAAGGCTCAGAATATACATTTGGGTTTCCTCAAGTTAATGACACCAGTGGTTGACCTGTTCACTAAAGAACATTTCCAGTGTGTGAGGGCAGCAATAAATGGGAGCACTGAGACCGAGTCTCTTTTGCTGTGCTCTGAATCCTCTGCAGGGAAACAGGAGAAGGGGAGGTGAGGTCCAGGGTGGGTCTCCTGTCTGTAGTGAATCCCTCAGCCACACCCAGAACTGTGCTGACCAAGGCAGTCGGGCATTTCTTACTCAAGTTGATACAGCCAATTAACTGTCACATCTACCCCGTGACAACTTGACCACAAACACATTTCCTTGAACTCTGTGCGCTCTGGATACAAAGACAAGTCCACAGTCACAGCTGTCGGGGTGCAGCTCTCCTGGGTGCAGACAGACTCACTGATTCCCTCCCCAGAAGCCAGGGCAAGTTCTCAGGGTGATGCTTCCCCCTAACATTTTATGACAACATTATAACACGGGTTTAACCATATATAACCAGTAACACTAAGCCTATCACCATCATTTTACACAGGAAGCCTGTTAGGTGAGCGCTGTGGAAATTCCTCATTTCTGTAAGTGCTCAGGAGGTTGGAGCTGGTGTCTATCACTACCTTCTTACACTGTGACTTCTGTATCCCCTTGGTGTTTGCAGGCCCCTCAGCAAGTCTCGGTCCTCTTCCTGGGGCAGTGACCCACAGCCTCATTCCTGGAGGTTCTGGACCATTTATCACCTATGTTGATTGGGTTGTACTTTTCCATTGACCTTAGCAATGTCAGGGTAGTACCAGGAGGTGCCCTAAGGTATCAGCTGCACTCTGAATATTTTATTCCTTTCCTCTGTTATGAAGTACTGGCCCAGTTTCCCCTTGATGGTCTGATCCATCATCCCTGCCCACACTGTAACTCCTTTGCTGCTTGGTTGGACGTGAGATACACAAAACCCCCAGGGGGTGTGTCAGCTTCCAGTTCCAGGGATTCCTGTGCCTCCTGGTAGGAGCCTCCCCCCACCCCTGGGGAGCGAGACCTTCAGGCCAGCAGCACATAAAGCTGTGGGATGGGGAAGCAAAGCTGCTGCTGGTGGGTCACTAGGGTAATGAATGGTGTCATTCCCTTGCCACCCCTGATTTCTGCACCCCTGTATCCTGGCTGTATGAGACGCAATGCCATAGAGTAGATGATGACTCAAAGCATACAAAGCCTTGGAAGAGCCTCGCCCCAGCCCTGCAGTCCAGGGCCACTTAGCTAGAGTTGTAACTCCATCATCAAAAGGACGTGCAACCTCTCTGTTGAGAGGTTCTGCCAGCCTGGCCCTTAGCTACCTCTACCATGAGGTCCTCCTGACTTGGCACAGGGCCCTGAAAAACAACAGGGAATCTCTCCAAAAGTAACTTCCGCATTCTTCTTCTCCTTCCAGAAATAAACCTCCTGGTCTCACACATGCACCAAGCTTTCTCCAGTCCCAAGACTCCACAACCACCTAAGCGCTGCGCCCCCAGCCCAAGTCCAGAAAAGCCGTTCCCAGCTCTCCATTTTGGGGCTCCTTGCTCTCTCTTGCACCCCTCCCACACCAGCAATAAATGCTTTTTCTTACCTCTGTCTTTGTCTCTCAACTGCCCCAAACCCTCACATCTACAGTTGAGGTGCTTCTCTTTTGTGAGGAACTTGGTGAGACCCGTGCATTTCATGAGCATGAGCCAATTGCCTCATGTGTGTGGTCATAGAACGTGTTCCTTGCCCGCAGGCCATTCTGTCTGGAATACCACGAGGGTGGGAAAGGCACTGTGCGCGTCCATGGATGGGAGCATTGGCAGAAGCGTTCCATGCAGGGAAGGCAAACCCAAAGCCACAATCAGTGTCCACACCAGCAAGGACAAAGTGCTGCCCTCTCCACGATGGAAGGATCCAATCTAATCGACGTGCCATCAGGTTGAAGCCTGATCACTTCAGGAAATGGAGCCGTGTCAGAACCCACAGTTGGTCTCTGCTGCTGGTGTGTGGGGCATCGAGCACATCAGCCTTGTGAGGGGAGTTCCTGTGGCTCGGCCCATGCACAACCTTCATCACTGCTACCGTGGCTACTTTGCTCATGAGCCCATTGGACAATGACAGTGGCAGCAGAGGAAAAGAGTCTCCTGTCACATACAGATGAGCCTGTCCTACCCAGCCGAGTCACCTTTGGTAAGTGTTCACATAGAATACACACACCACTGCATCCACTGTCCATGTGGACAGGTCCATCCACGTACCTCTTCCCCAAATAACTTTCTCACCAATTTTACAGTCATGTTCCTTCTATGTTGCTGATCTTTGGTCCAGAGCATTAGCTCCAGCCCGTGAATCAGTACAGAGTCCCACATCTGCCCATGTCACCTTCCAGGGAAAATGTGCACCAGGCGCACTGCCCAACATTTCCCCCACTGGGAGGATTTCCCTTCACCACTGACCTCCAGGGATGTCCTGGAAGGGACTGCAGCACTGCAGCTGTCACGTGCAGGTGTGAGATGTGTAACACACAGAACCGTCCATAACCCAGGCCCTGCCTTTCCTTCCTCTGACAGCAGATCACATGGTCCACCACATGGGGCACAGGTGCATGCTGGGAGACAGAAGGCAGCACTGCAGCATTGGGGGCCGTGGCCATCTGGGCGTCTTCTTCCTGTGACTCACTTGTCACCTCTGGACATGCCCTGGCTCATTCATCTTGTATCAGACAGGGCTTTACTAGAGAAACAGATATAACACATATAAAATGTGTAAGGAACACAAGATTGGCTTACAATGGTCAGCCACACATTCGGATGAGGGCACGGGCAGAGGGTGTCTGTGTGATGGGGGTGAAGGGCACAGCCCAAGGGCTCTTCCTCACTGCAATGTCCATGCAAGCCCATATCACAAGCCAATGGGTTCATAATGGAAGGCTGAAGAATCCAGGACAGAAGGCTGAGAAGTCCCAGGTGGAAGCCGAGCAGTCTGTGCCAGAAGCCAGGAGACTCCAAGCTGGGTGAAGACTGGAGCTCCTCTGAGGAGGCAGCCATCAGCCCCCTCCTGTGCCTTTCACTGTGTGCAGGCTGCTCCTGGGGGCGGTGCAGCCCCACACCAGCTGCCTGCCCTCCTCCTGCACAGGCTGAGGGTGTTACAGCAGGGACCCTGGCCCCCGCTGAGTCACTTGGTGAAAATCCCCCCTTCCCCAAATAACACAGTGAACAACATCCTAGGACGTTAACTATTGTTCGTCTGCACCCCAGGACGTGGAGCTGCTGGGTCACTCTAAAAGCTTCTAGACTTTTCAAGTTGATACAGTGTATCAGCCATACAGCATCTGTATACCACTTCTTTTATTTGGTTCTTTATTTGAATTTTGGGTTCCTCATTCCTAAATGTACTAAATCCGACTAAGCTTAAACTAGAAGGAAATCAGAGAAGTAGAATTTAAGAAAGAAAATTTGGAAGTTTCAGGGCAATCATATTGTGTTGAACTAATGATTCCTACACCTGTGAAAGAGAAAGGGAAATGAAATTAACTTGGAGCTGGGCGGGGCAGAGTCTTTCACACATAAAAAAATCTCACACCCTCGTAACAGTAATGCATTCAGGATATATTTTCTCACCCATCATTTATGGGGAGGAAGTGGAGAGTCACAAAGGTTAATTAATAGGCTCAGCTCACACAGCCTGTGCCCCGCTCACCAGGACCCCAGGCCTGGCTTCCTTTGGTTTCTGTTCTGTGCACCTTTCCCTCCATGATGCTGCCTCTGCAGCCCTGTAGCCCAGGTCGGAGCCGGACCAGCACAGCAGCCTGGGGATGGGTGTCCAGGGGAGAGGTGGCTCCTGTCCGTGGTTAGCACACTGTTCCTTCTATCCAGAAAGACACTTGCCCCTGGGTGGCTTCCTTCTCTGCTCCGCTCTTCTCCGAGTGCCATCTGAGGTCAGTAAGGGGCTGATGTGGATGCAGACTCAGGGCTCCTGACTTCTCCAGTGTGGTTTGCACTAAGCCACAAGGGTAAACAAAGGCTGAGAGTCCTGGGAGAGGGCTTCATCTCTGCCTGCTCCTGTAACTCACAGGAAATACAGGGTTCACACGGGGTCACCTGCACCACCAGGGTATTTCCGTGTGGGAACCATCTAGACACAGGGAGTGTGCAGTAACTGTGGACTAAGATTCAGAATGGTGCCTGCATGGGGCCCTGACCGTGAGTGGAGCTCGCAGGACAGGAAGCTGCTCTGGGTCACTCAGTGAGTGGTGGTCAGTGAACACCGAGGCCCACAGCACTGCTGTCCATTACTGCAGACGTTACACACACTCTCCACTGAGGCTACACTCGGGTTATGGAAACAACTTCCTGTTTGCATGAGCTTTACCTTACTGTAGCTTTTAAATTCATAAACTTTTCATTTTTAAACTCTGGTACTGTTGTAATGACACTGAGTTTACAGCACACTGCAGGCTGTGTGTGTTTCCGGGTCCATCATAATCTCTCACCCACTCTGTGGTTCATCGTGGACTGAAACATCATTTGTTGCATGACTGTGTGTTCTGCTGTTGCCAAGTGTTTTGGTGCCAGAGATTGGTTTTTTTTTTTTTCGTTTTGTTTTTTGTCTTTCTCATTTTTATCGGTACCAGGGATCGAACTCATGACTGCCTGCTTGCATGACAGGCGCTTATCTCGCTGAGCTAAATCCCCAGCCCGCAGGGATTGGTTTCTAAGACAGTTTTCCATGTATGGGTATTTTCCAAATGATTCCAATGCACTGCACATTTTGAGTACTTTATTTCTAGTATTATTGTGCTGTCGTATGTAATGAAATGGTTATGCAACTCCCCACAATGCAGAACCAGTGAGAGCCCTGAGCCTAGAGGGGTGGACAGTGACCCGTACGTGTGTTGCCTGTGTTCCGTCTGCTCCATAGTCTCACTTTGGCTACTGGTCACTTTTGGAAACACTGTTCAACAAAGATAGGACAGGGGACAGGGATTTAGCTCAGCAGCAGAAGTGCCTGCCTGCCAAGCGTGCAGTCCCGAGTTCCATCCCCAGAACAAAACAAACAAACAAACAAACAAAAAGGACGGTGGAAATGCACACAGCCTCTTCAGTGTTTTTGTGGCAGTCTCAGGATATTCACCCTTGACTTTTATGCAGAATCCAGGGAGATGTGACATTATCTCAGACACACTTTAAGGCCATCATCATTGTAATCTCCAGCAGCTGATCCTCTTCTATCTCAGAGGAAGTCGGTACACCTGAAGCATTCACAAATAATGGAAGATCTGCTCCTCTTGAGGTTGGCATTTCTGAGGTCAGCAAATAATACTCAAATTGTTTTGAAAGCTGAGGTAGGTGAGCAGAAACCAACTGGAGAAATAAGGCCCTGGCTCAGTGTCTTTCAGAATCTCTGCTAATGATTGGGACCCATCAGACTCCCAGTGTTCACGCTCTGCCCCACAATTCCAGTGTGGCTTGGAATGCAGCCACTTTATCTGCCAACCTGGACACAGTTGACCTCTGCCCTTGCGTTCACTGAGCAGGGTGATTATGTCACAGGAATAAGCAGGCTTGATGACCCATCCTGTGTCACTTCAATATGCAGCCAGGCTGAACTGTTTTCCTAACAGAAATCTTGGGTGCAGCTCTCTTGACTAAAGAACTCTGGCCAAGAATCTACTTTTTGAAAACTATCCCACCCGAGTAGCAGAGAAGCCAGTTGTGCTGTGCCCTCTTCACAGATGTGTGAACAGATGTGAGGGAAGGGCGTGGCTTTTCTCATTCATAATTTTAATCAGATGCTGCAAAATGTTGTTCCATTCAGGTGTTGCTTTTCAGCTGCCCAAATGTCTATGTGGATGATTCAGTGCAGACTCACTTTAGAATTCACATCTATGACCTGAGAGAGCAGAAAGCGATGCAGTCAGTGTGACCACCCATGTGTGCACACACGGACACAGCTGACCGATTCAGTCATCTTGTTTGTAATCATTCTAACAGATCTCTGGAGCTGCCCATTGGTTGGCAGAAAAGGTGCACAGAACTCACCCCATGCATATCCTCCTGAAAACACTTCCCACAGAACAGCACTGCTGCCTTGGAGTCGGCTCCGGTTCTCTTGCAACATGGATTTTGTAACATGGTAGCCCAGTTATTCTGTCTGAATGTGGTGCTGCTTCTTCCTTGGAGCCACACACTGAAATGGGAGCCAAAACCCGCCTCCCCTCCCTTCACTAGCAAGGGTCAGGTGTTGGGTGTTAGCCAGGGCAAAAGTAATTGAGGCACTTTTCAAAGTCATACTTTTGGTTTTCTGGAATGAAGCCTGGTGGCTGTGTCTCCCATGTTGGCCATGGCCTCTCCTCCTGAATAGCCACGACCTAGAGCGCAGCCCAACACACACACCTGCACCTTCTTAGGATCCAGAGTAGAGAGGAAGGAAACTTTCTTTCAGGTCCTCTGTGCACGAAGGCAGGCCAGACACCCACAAGGATCAATGGCGGCCTCACCATTGATGCTGCTGCTGCCCAGACCACAGCTGAGGCCTCCATGGAGCAGAGGAGGATATTCCCTGGAGGTCTCCCGAGGACCTGCGGTGAGAACGGGGTGAATTCCACAGTGTAGGGGTCCAGTGCTGAGTCTGAGGCTGAGGAGGCAGAGACCCTCACGGGCCTGGTGCCCTCCAGCGCCTGCCTGGCTGTCAGATGATGACTCCTGGCTGCCTGCAGCCCACAGACTCTGTCAGCCACAGCAATACTCGCTGTGCCCTGGAGCTCAGAGACAGCTGGGCAAGAGCTTCCTCTCTGAGGAGCCCAGTCCACTGGGAGGAACTCGTCTGGCTGCCTCTGCCCTCCACAGAGGAGGCGGAGAAGCATCTCCCGAGAGCGGGGAGGAGAAGGACAGGTGATGCTGAGAAGGAGCAGTGACTCCGTCACCTGGTGCCCTCCCGTCCTGGCTGTTCCTGCTGAGCTCTGACCTTCTGCTGAAGGCAGAGTGACAGCATAGCTTCCCCTGTGTCCTGACTGCTCTGTGCATCGCTCAGTGTCTGGGTGACTTTTGCGCCTCTCTTCCTCCTTTTTCCCTTTTCTTGTCCAGGCTCTAGCTTGCTGTTGCTCACAGCCTGAGCAGAAAGAAAGGGAAGCACACAGTGAGAATGCAACCACCATCACTGGTGCCCTGGCCTTGGCCACCACACAGGACAGCTGCTTCCCTCTGTGAGACTTGGAGGCTACAATTTTGCCATTATTATTGTGCAGTGCACAGAATCTATCAGGAGTGACATTTCTTAGGAAGTGTGGCCCAAGTTGGGCAGCTGTGTATATTGGAAATATGTGTGTATGTGTGTATGTGGCTATTAGAAGGTAAATATGCTCCACTTTCTCAACAGCTTTTTGCACCCTGTTTAGAGTCTCTGGCAGGCTCCCCTGGGGAATTACAGTGGAGGCCTTTAGGATTTGGGGTAAGGCTCTGCCATCATCTGCAGATAACTACTCTCCTTTTGAGAAACAGCTGTTGGCCTGCTACTGGCCCCTAGTGGAAACTGAATGCTTGACGATAGGATACCAGGTCACCATGCGACCTGAGCTGCCTGTCACGGCCTGGGTATTAAATGCCCCTTCAAGTCACGAAGTTGGACATGCACAGTAACAGTCTATCATTAAACGGAAGTGGTATTCATGATCGAGCCACAGAAAGACCAGAAGGTACAAGTAAGTTACACGAGGAAGTTGCCCAGATACCTACGGCTCCTATTCCCGCTATGTTGCCTTCAGCTTCCCAGCATGCGCCTACAGCCTTGTGGGGTGTGCAATCAGCTGTCAGAGGACGAGAAGCTGGGGCCTGGTTTAGGGATGGCTCTGCACATTATGCAGGCATCACCCACAAGTGGACAGCTGCAGTATTACAGATCCTTTCTGGGACATCCTTAAAAGACAGTGGTGAAGAGAAATTGTCACAGCGGGCAGAACTTCGAGCAGTGCATTTGGCAGTACATTTTGCCTGGAAGAAGAAATGGCAGATGCGAGACTGTATACTAATTCATGGGCTGTAGCCAATGGTCTAGCTGGATGGTCAAGAACTTGGGAGCAACATAATTGGAAAATTGGTGACAAAGATATTTGGGAAAGAGGTATGTGGATAGACCTCTCTATATGGGCAAAGAATGTAAAACTATTTGTTTCCATGTAAATGCTCACCAAAAGGTAACATCAGCAGAAAACAACTTTAATAATCAAGTGGATAAGATGACTCGTTCTCTGGATAGTGGCCAATCTCCTTCTTCAGCCACCCAGTCATTGCCCAATGGGCCCATGAACAGAGTGGCCATGGTGGCAGGGATGGAGGGTATGCCTGGGCTCAGCAACATGGACTCCCACTCGCCAAGGCTGATCTGGCTACCGCCACTGCTGAATGCCCAGTATGCCAGCAGCAGAGGCCAACACTGAGTCCCCGAAATGGCAGCATCTCCCGAGGTGATCAACCTGTAATTAGGTGGCAGTTTGATTATATTGGACCACTTCCATCATGGAAGGGACAGTGCTTTTTTTCCTTACTGACATAGACATATGTTCTGTATATGGATTTACCTTCACTGCACATAAAGCTTCCATGAAAACTACCATCAGTGGACTCACAGAATGCCTTATCCACTGTCATGGAATTCCACACAGCATTGCCTCTGACCAAGGAACACATTTTACAGCTAAAGAAGTGAGACAGTGGGCTCATGCTCATGGAATTCCCTGGTCCTGCCATGTCCCTCTCCATGCAGAAGCAGCTGGATTGATAGAAAGGTGGAATGGCCTTTTGAAGACAGTTACAACGCCAGCTAGGTGGCAACAGTTTGCACGGCTGGGGTTAGGTACTTCAACAGGGTGTATATGCTTTAAACCAATGTCAATTATGTGGCACTGTGTCTCCCACAGCCAGGATTCATGGGTCCAGGAATCAAGGGGTGGAAGTTGGAATGAAGTCACTCGCCATCACCCCTAGTGATCCACTAGAAAGATTTTTGCTTCCTGTCCCATGACTTCATGTAGAAACTGGCCTGGAAGTTTTGGTTCCAGAGAGGGGAAGGCTTATACCAGGAAGCACGACAATGGTACCATTTCCACATCTATTTTTCCCCCTAAGGCTAAGACAAAAGATCTTGGACGCAGAAAATATACTATCTCTCTGCTTGGTGCCTGAAGTTGTGGCAGCACAGGTGCTGTTTTGAAAGTGACTTAAACAGAAAATTCTTCTGTTTTAATCTTGAATGAAACATTAAGAACTTGGGTTGGAGGATAAGACCATGGGCCCCAGAAGAAGCAGAACCACACTTCCTGTGAACCAGCCTCTGCCATGGGGATCGGGAAGAGACTCAGCAAGGAGCAGAACCACGCCTTCCCGTGAGCAGCCAGAGTGGGCTGGGAAACCAGGAGAGCATCCCCACGCCCACCCGTGAGCACCTGGTGATGCAGAGGACTCAGGAGACATGATAGCACCTGAGGGAGGGGACAGCTGGATGCTGGCGTTGTTTGTTCGGCTCTGCAGGCTGGGGGCTGGTGGTCTGGGCATCTATTTGGAGGACAGCAGTGTGCATTGTGGGGAATTTTCTTCTGTCTCACTTTTGAAATCCAGTGTTTTGTTCCATTTTCCTGTTTCGTTTCATTCCTGTATCTGGTAACCTGCGCAAGTATTCTGAAGAGAACAGTGTGCAGGATCACAACCACTATCATCTTCTCTTGAAAATCTATGTAGGTGTTTTTGTTGTTGTTGTTTTGCATTTGTTATCGTTGAATTTTTACGTTTTCTTCTAGATTTTTTTCAATTAGAAAAGAAAAAACCATGAGCTCCAAACTGCTACCATAGTTACTTTAATCTTCATTGCAGAAAACAAGCAAATAAACTAGCAGTTAAAAATATCCTTGTTGAAGTCCATAAAATTACTCATTTCGTCGAATCTCCAGTCCAGAGGTCACAGTTTTCACATATTGCTGAGACTGAAAGGGAAACGCACGTGAAGCCTTCTGCTGTGCCCCGCGGTGGGGTGTTTGTGTCCATCACCACCATGCTGGGCGCCGGCCTAACCCTTTGGACTACAACACTATTTCTCTGGAAAGTGAGCGGCAGAGAAGCCCTGATGGTTTACACTTGGGAGTTAACCAGCACCTTCTCTAACGTGACCTGCGCCTGTCTCTTCAGGATGGGTGCTGAGAGTATTTTTGTCAACGACAGAATGAGGGATTTTAAAAGAATATTAGAACTTTGGAGAACTTGTGTCCAACACTGTAAGTTAGTCAGTTTGTGCTTATTTACAACCTTTTCTATTAAACTGTGTGGTACTGTGAAGATTTGCGATTTTTTGATAATTTGTGATGAAATGCATCAGCATTGGAAGATCTATGTGACTCGGTTGATCTAATTTTTCTAAGTCTTGTGTTACCCAGCATCCTTCAGTGAGCCAGGCAGACCTGGGGGTGCTCGTGCAACAGCACACGGACTATGGATTGATGCTGGTTTGTGATAAAGATGAAGATGCACAAGTATCTGACCGAGTATTAAATATATTTCTCATACATGTGTGTGAGGCTAAATTTGTTTTCATGTACTTTGATCAAAATAACTGGCTAAACGCAGAACTAGATAAGAAAACCCAGCACACAATCTTCTAATGAGACAGACAAGAAAAGAATTTGTAAAAATGTAAAAGTGTGAAAAGATTCATTTTCACTATACTGTATATTTTTGGAAAATGTTTCTCACAAAATTGTATTTTTGTTATTTACAGTGAGTTACCAATAATATATTGGTTACCAATATACCAATAATACCAATGTATCAATAATACTAAAGTTACCAATAATAAATATTTTTATTCATTTTAATTTATAAGATTTAGAGCTGCAACTCATATAAACATGTTTGCTTTTGTGATCTTCAGTAATTCCTCACAGCAGATCAACATCTTCAACACAAAATGTCTAAACCATGCGTGGTGGCACAGGCCTGTGATGTGAGGACTCAAGAGGCTGAAGCAGGAGGATCGCCATAACTTCAAGGCCAACCTGGGCTACACTGTGAGTTCAAGGTCAGGGTGAGCTACACACTGAGACTCTAACACACACACACACACACACACACACACACACACACACACACACACACACACACAAAGAAAGAGACCAAGACATATAACAGCAGCCGACATAGGCCCCCAAGAATAAGAGAAACTACAGAGACCAAGCTCGCGGGGTAGCAGGTGAGTGATCAGAGCACAGTTCCGGGTCCCCACAGGGCTCTCCTGGACTTGCCCAGGGCGGCCTCTGGGATAGAAAACCTCCCCGGGTCAGTCCCCACCTCCTTGGAGTTTCACTTCTCCCTATCAACCTGCAAGGAGGCTTTCTCCTTGGACACTGATGACGCAAATGAAAAGCTCCATCCCATTGGGTGGAGGTTCCCAGAAGAGCCAATCACATTCACGGCGGATTGGGGCTGTTCAGTCCTCACCACAGGACCCGGGGAAGCTCTCCAGGCTCCGCTCCCCGCGCTCTCCATCCCGGCGCGCGGCTCTTCTGGGGAGCTGCCCTGGCCGGGCCCGCGGTTCTGCTCCCACCCGCGGCCCTGGGTCCCGGCTCCTGGGTCCTGCCCTGCTCCCCGGTGCTGACCTTGCTCCCCGGGACGCCCTGGGGGCGCAGACCGGGCCCCGGGGGCGCAGGCTTCTCCGAGCCCTTCGGAGCCCGCGCTCAGGGCGCTGACCCCACCGCTCCTGCTCTCACGCGTGGGCAGCCGCTGTGTGGCGGGGCCGCGCGTGGGCTCAGGTCCTCCTTCTCCCGCGGTGACCTCCGCAGCCCCGGCTTCTCTCTCTTCCCGGCTTCTGCCTGTGTCGTGTCTGCGACCTCAGCACGGGGACACGGGACCCCGCTGCCGGTCCTTGTTCTTTCCACTCCCCGGGGCAGGGCCGGCACCTCCATCCGGGTCTGAACTTGGTGTCCGCAGAGCGGCCCCTTTTACCGTGTTGGCAGCCAGGTGGAGCAGCAGCCGGCTCCAGCGCTCTGGGCTGTAGGCGTCCAGTGCTGAGCCCTCTGCTCCTGTCCCCAGGAACAACTTCTCTAGGTCGCCGCCACCGAGGAACATGGTGCTGTGGGTTTCTCTTCTTAAAGCAAAGTCTTTCACCTTTGCAGCTAAGGCTGCACGGGCTAGAGTCCTGTGGGTCTCCTGATGCCCTCAGGCCATCTCTGTGGTCCTCTTGTGGGGTACTTGGCTTCTTCTTGCTAACCTGTACAGTGACCAATTTCATGACTGTTGCATTTGCAGCCCACAGTTTTACTTGTGCGTCCTGCCACAACTCACGTGGCTCTTGAGGGTCCTGGAGTGAAGGGTGGACCTCCAGAGGATGAGAAAATGAAGAGACGAAAATGCGGTCAGCTGGAGCCCTCACTCTCCTCACGGGAGGGAAGGAACTGCTCAACACCACAGGACCTTTGTTTATGCACTCACAAGGCTTTGGTCGATTTCAATTTGTTTGCTGGCTGGCCTGGCCCCCTTGCCTTCCTGGAGCTGGAACAGCTTGCTTACTTGGCTTGTTTTGGACTCAGTGTTTTCCAGCTGGCCTTGCTTTATCCCCACTCATGTGATCATTCGCTTGGCTCTCTAATGTTGATTCTCAACATAAATCTCAGTACAACCCCCAACAAATAGCCATACCACTGCCTCAACATTCCACTACCTTGAAATTCCTTTTACAAGATTAGTGGGTGGTGGTGGCCCCTGCCTGTAGTCCCAGCACTTGGGAGGCTGAGGCAGGAGGATCACTGTGAGTTTGAGACTCACCTTGTAGCCTGGGTTACAATGTGAGCTCAAGGCCAGCCTGAAATGCATAGTGAGTCTCAAGAACAACAAAAAGAAAAAAAGAAAGGAAAAGAAAGAAAGAAAGAAAGAAGGGATTAAAAGAAAAAAAGAAAGGAAAAGAAAGAAAGAAAGAAAGAAAGAAAGAAAGAAAGAAAGAAAGAAGGGATTAATTAGTTCACCAGCCTTAACCTCAGTCTCAGGCAGTCTTTGGACACAAGCAAAATGCAGGCAAACTTCCTGCCAAGCCGTAACACACATTGTCTGGGGTCCAGCAGCTCGGGGGTCCTTCCCAGCAGGAACTTCTTGAGCCTGGTCTTCCAAGCGGGATTGCTTGCAGCCTTCTGGGCTCTTGAGCTCTGACCAGAATCTCATGTGGAGTTCAGTTGAAGATGTTCCTGCTGTGTTTGTCCAAAATTTCTGAATCTTTTCTAACTTGTCACAAGCCAGCCTCAAAGGCTCCCGAATCACATGCCCTGGTGCACTCAAAGCAAGAACCCCATTTGTCTGGTACCAAATTCTTACTGTTCTCATGGCTGAGACAGAATACCTGACACTGCCAGAGGCTGATCGGATGCCTGGATATACCTGTAGGGGGAAGATTGGGGAATAAAGCAAAAGACAATATTCAAGGTTCAAGGGGGTCTGGGGGTCTGGGATTCACATTGGACAAAGACCAAGAGCTCTTTGGCTGGGCCACTTTTATTAGCTAGTGACAAGCTCAGGGAACACGTTTTTGGAACAGGGACTGATGTGAGAGTAAGATAATAAACGGGACCAAGTGTAGCACAGCAAAGGGAGCAAGTTAAAGTCCTAACCCACACCTGGGGGCTGCCTTTTGTGTGAGGTCTCCAGGCTTCTGCAGATAGTATCCTGTCTCAGAGGCTGTGAATGCAGGCTCTCCCCACACAGTCAGAGAGCAGGCAGCTATTTCCAGACTCTCCTGTCTCTGAGGCAAGTCACACTGCCTGGGACCTCACACTCTGCTCCCGAACATAGTAAAGTATTACTTCATACACCCTGGTCCCTAACAGGACACCGAAGTTAAAGGAGCAGAGTTTATTTGGCTCCAAGGCAGCGTGGCATGGGAGAAGAGAAGCAGGCCATGATGGGCACAAGGAAGCAAAGCAGCAAGAGACGACCAGGGCTCCTTCTCTCCCTTATACCCTGTCCAGGCTGTTTAGGGTGGGCAGCACCACGCCCTCAATCCTGGTGCCCTTGAGCCCAGCATTGCACATGAATCAGTCCCAGCATCTCACACTCTAGAACCTGCCACCTCTGAAGAAGCCACATTAGGACTCAATGAGGCTTTGGAGGGACATCTAGACACAGCTGGGACACCCGGGACCCCCCTTCTGACAGTGGTATACTCGAGCTCGGCCAGGAGGAGGCTGTGCTGTGAGTCGTGAGGATTCGGGAGCAGAAGCTGTGGGACACGGACCACCCACCGCAGCAGGCAGGCATCTGGTTTCTACTCTTTGTGGGTTACAGTATTTCATAGTCTGAAAGTATGTGACAACTTTTTTTTTTATCGGTACCAGGGATTGAACTGATGACCACACTCTTGCAAGGCAGGCGCTTATGCCGCTGAGCTAAATCACCAGCCTTAATGTGACAACTTTCCACTGGACAATTCTAGTCAGGGTTATTTTTATGATGCTATGTGCATATTTCATGACTCTTATCTCACGGTGCACATAGCATCAGAAAGTATTCTGGAATTATTTGAACCTCTTCATCATTATTTTACCTGGCATCTGACCTGTGGTCAGTGATCCCCGCTATTACTATTATAATTGTTGTGGGGGACGGGGGTCCCAGGCTCCATCTGTATTAGAAACATCACGTGTCCTGAGTGCTCCACTGACTGGCCTTTTCCCAGCTCTTCCTGTCTTCAGCTCTGACCACTGCAAGGAGCAAACACACAAAACCTGAGGTTAGACCCATTAGTGACCCCACAGTGGCCTCCAAACACTCAAGAGTGGAAGAGTGGCACAGCTGTCACTTCACGTCCAAAGCTAGGAGTCGTGAAGCTTAGTGGGGAAAACAGGCCGAAAGCCGGGACGCGCAGGAGCCAGGCCTCTTTCACCACTCAGCCAAACTCTCAGCGCTCAGGAAAAGCCCTTCCAGAGATGAAAGCGGCTCCTCGAGTAAACACACAGCGGTAAGAGAGGAAACAGCCCCGCTGCCGATGGAGCGAGCGTTCATGGTGTGGACAGGAGGACAGGGCAGCCACCACGTCCCCCACAGCAAACCCTCACTTCAGTGTTCAGGGCTGGAGAGGTCGGGTCTGCGGGAGTCTGGAGCGGGCAGGGCTGTTTATGGGGTGAACAGAATAAGCCGTCTCCATGACGAGAAGCTGGAAGGTGAGCAGCACAGTGCTGATGGAGAAGCCACATTAGTGAGACTGGAAGCTGCCACATAAAGGTGGAGGAAACAGCTTGTACCCAGAGAAGATGCCCCCAGAGCTCCCAACCCTGGGCAGTCAGGGCCTGGCTTCAGTTTCAGGGAACAGGCGGGGCTGTGGGTGTAGCTCAGGGGTGCGGTGTTCCCCTCACATGTGTGACCTGGGTTCAGTCACCATACACATGTATTTTTTTAAACAGAAGAATACATTTATTGGGGAAAGAAAGATTCTGAGAGATAGTAGGGGTCCCAACAGGGTGAGGAGGACTCTGCCTTTTTAAGAGATTTTTATAGAGTGAAACCACGAAGTGAGGTGCTCCAAGGTGGAGAAAAATGGGAAATGACAAGGTGGGCAGGAGGTGGGAGAAAACTGTGGTCAGCCAATAAGATTGTGTGAATAATCAGTTAGTACGGATTGTCAGGCTCAAACGGGAAAGCAAGTCACAGAGTAAGCACATGACACAGAACAGGGGCTATGACCGCAGTGGAAGACCCCAGATGATACAGCAGAACTCCCTGCCTGCTAGACGTCTGATATGAGTGCGTGTTCTCTAAAATCAAAGAACGAAGGTTAATAGCATACATTCATTGGGGAAGGAAAGCGTCTGAGTCCCAAGCAGGATGGCCCCCTGCAGCTTTAGAGCAGACAGGCTCAGTCCTTGGCTCCTGCAGCTGTGACTGTACCCTGAAGCCTGTGCTCAGCACTGAGCTGTGGGTCCTGGGCCCTTAGTGGCCACCCTGGAGCTGCTTTCCTGTGCTTGGTAAACAGAGCAGAACCTCAGCACAGGGGTCACTGGACACTGGTCAGTGGAGACCACTGCTCAGGGAGGAGTCTTCCCAACACCACCACTCAGGACAGCGCTGGCCACGTGAGGGGTCTGACGGAGATGCACAGTGAGGGTTGTTCTCACCTGCTGACTCCACATTCTGCAGTGGTGGAGTCGCTGTGACTCTGGTCTTGTTGTTTAGGGAACATGTGTCCTCCAGCTACAGCTGCCACAGCTGGTTCCTCTCACTGAGCTAGATGACGTGCACTGACCGCCTGCTGGAGAGAGCTCACTACTCCAGATGGCATTAGGAACACAGGTTTGTGGGAGGTCAGTGGATCAGAAGGACTTTGGATGCCGATTTAACACTGCTGGATGACGCTGAGGTACTGGAGACATCAGTGGGGGAAGTGACTGCAGACGTGGAAGAGGACTGGGGTTACACACAGGGTTGAAGACACCCTTGAACGGCTGCCAGGTCAGGATAAAACTTCAGCACACGAGGAATTGCTTCTAATGGATAAACACAGAAAGTGGCTTTTGGAGATAGAATTTCCTTGTGGCAAAGATGTACTATTTAAAGAAAAATGGAGTGAAGCTTTTTTGAAAAAAACTTTGGAGTTTGAGAGGACTTACTCCAATTCTGAGCGTTCTCCTGTGGACAAAATGTGATCAACCAGAGACTGCAGGGAAATGTTTTTTTTTTTTTTTTTTTGTCTTTTTCATTTTCATTTTTTTCATTTTTACCGGTACCAGGGATCGAACTCATGACCGCCTGCTTGCAAGGCAGGTGCTTATGCCGCTGAGCTAAATCCCCAGCCCCTGCAGGGAAATGTTTTATGAAAGGAAGAGTTGGTTGGGGCAGCAAACTTCCTCACCATCTTTTTTAAAATGCCACCCTCCTCAGGACCTGCCACAAGGAAGGTTGGGTGACAACACCAAGGAACCCTGCCCTCGAGCAGTGGTATCACAGCTCCCTACTGGCGCAGGCGACTGTCAGCAATAAAGTGCCATTTATTAAAAGTGTATTTTCTTAGATATAAAGCTATTGCACACTTCACAGACTACAGTAATAGTGAATTACATGTTTGAAACATACTAATAAACCCCCCAAAATGTGACCCAGTTTATTGTGATATTCTTCATGGCAATGATCTAGAACTAAACCCACACTATCCCCACAGTAGGCCCACATTTGCACACTCACTTTGACACACTTGTGGTTGCATCTAGGGTACACCGGGAAGTGAAATACAGGTAAAACCCCAACTTTGGGAATGCCCCGCAGAAAAAAGCAGACGATACTGTCTTCACAGTCAGCATTTAGGAAGGAGATGGTTAGTGCTCTAGCAAAGGTGAATCCAGAGGTGGGCATCTGAGGGCAGATGACAAGCCCATTTTACTATGGCAGTGAGCGTGCACCTCAGTGGGAGGCAGCCTTTGAGAGGCTGGAAGGGATTCGTCATGAGGATGTCTGGAGGCTTTTTCCAAGCAGGGAGACAGATCTTCAACACCAGTGCACTAGGTCAGGGTTCTATCTGTGTGTTCTGAGGGCAGCGAGGCATCAGGATGCCCTGGGCTGCCACTGAGAGGAAGAGCCGCCAGTTCTTATAGGGCATGAGGATGCTGTGTTTGTACTTGGCATTAGGTGGTTCTGAGTAGATGGGGTTACAACTTCTCTTTTGAAAGGACTGCACTGGTGGCTGACCACAGAATTGAGGTAGAAGGACCAGCGTGATGGTAGGGATGACTACTCTGTCTCTGGGCTGCAGAGGCCAGTGCCCTCACCTGGGCATGTTCAAGGAACAGTCACGGTGACTGGGTTCTACACACAATGCTGAGGAACTTTACAGCACTTCCTACTGGAGGAAATCTGGGGTAAGAGAAAGGAAAAGGGTCACCAGACTTTACAGTAGCAGGATGAGATGGAATTGCCATCACTGGGGAAGGGGAGGTGCCAGCAGGGTGCATGTGAACATGGGCTGTGGGAGCTGGGGCAGGAGATGCTGAGCTGAGGGCTGTCCTAGAAAGGCGATGAGGTGGCCTGGTTGGCAGCAGGACAGGAGAGAATGTGAAGGCCTGTGCCCAGAACACTCCAGTTTAAGAATTTGGAGGAGCCTACATACAATAGCTTGGAAGGCTCGAGCACATCCCGAAGACACAGGCACCACAGAGCCTCAGGCTTTCCTGTGCTCCAGAATCTCTGGAATCACCTGTATCTCACCTTGATGCACAGGTGTGGTCAGGTGTGACTCCAGGTCACAGGCCAGGAGTTCTGTTATGGTTTATACACTGTGTCAACTTGAGAAGTTTAAGACTCAGCAGGGAGCCAAGATCCTTACTCTGTAAATATCCTTATCCTGTGAAAGAGGAGGGCACAGAGATTGAGTGCTGTACACCCTACTGAGGGGCGTGGCCTGTGGACAATATAAGAGAGGAAAAGAGGCTTCCTCCCCCTTAGCACAGGGGGAACATTTTTGCTCTGGCTGCTGCTTTGAAGTGTTGTCCCTGTGCTATGCCACCCTGCCTTGGGGCCAGCTGATTATGGATTGAAACTTCCACAAACAGTGAGCTAAATAAACCTTGCCTTCCGTCATTTTGAGTGTTGGGTGGTTTTGTCTCAGCAACAAGACAAAACTAACCAAGATGATTTCCCAGCTGTGTCTCAGTCTCTTGCAAAGTTTATTTCACAAGATTCCAAGACTCTGCACAAATTTTGGCACAGGAGGTCTGGAAGAGGCCCGAGTGTTTTGTAAGCAGCCTGCCAGCAATTCCAGTGCTCAACCAAATGCAAGCTGCTGGTGTCAGCAGTCACAGTGCCCAGAGAAGTGCCTGAAGCCACAGTCAAAGGCACCTTTTCCTCGCTTGGGAAAGGAGGGCAGAGTCAGTCATGAGAGAAACATCAAGAGATAAATCTCACTTTTGCTTCAGGGGGAGCCACCACACGGAAGACCCAGGAAGTGGCTCTTAGCTCAGGATAATGTAAATCTCACATGCTGCTCCCTGAAACCACTCCCCAGCCTATTTCTTACCCATGTCTTGCCATGAACAGTGGAATGCAATATGATGACTTGAATTCTTTAGAAAATGTGGAATTTATACACAATGGAGAGCTATTCTGCCATCAAAAAAAGAAAACTTGAGGACTTCAAGAGAAAATAGAGACAACTTGAGAATATAATGTTAAGTAACATAAGGCAGGCACACAAGATAAAATGTGAGAAATTCAGTATGTATGCACATGTATAGACAAAACAGTGTGAATAGGAAGTGGGGAGAAATTCAAATGACTCCCCAAATTATGTTGTTTCAAAACTATTTTAAGATAAATGCTATTTTGTTTCATTTACACAGCTAGTTTGTTTGTCTCACTGGAAAAAAGTTTTGCCCTTTTGTTTCTTCTATGTAGTAGGGTATCATTTCTATTAGTTGTACTCTTAGTAACATTTTAGATTCTGGCTGTTCTTTTAAGATCATGACACACAGTATATTAACCATTAGTTATTCTTTAATTATTTTGTTATGAAAAGAAATCTAGAGACTCAGGGTTTAGCTCAGTCGCATAAGCACCTTACCAGCAAGCACAAATTCATGAGTTCAATCCCCAGTACCAAAAAATAAAAAGAAATCTGAACAAAACAATGGAATGCAAGTTTTTCTAAATTAAACATAAAGGAATACACACACACATACACATATGGTATTGGGACTCATTTTATTTTGGGGAGAGGCACAGAACCAACCTTGAGGCTGGCCATGCAGCCAGGGACAGAATCCAAAACCTCACTCCAAGTGGAGTCCCAAAGAAGATCCACCTACCCTTGTTGGGAGGTGCTGAGGCTGGAGATAAATCACAGGATCACACATGCAGGGCAGGAGTAAGGCCATCTGGAGAACAAAGAGCACCTGGGGTGAGCCACATGAAACCGCCCAGAGAACACCAAGCCCCAAGACAATCCAAGCAATGGGGTGCCACGGCTACATTAGCTTGCTGCATGTATAAATGAACGCCCTTTCCTTTCCTTCCATCTGGAGAGGAGGGGCTCCCCTGACCCCAGCTTTCTGTGTCTTTATCTTTCACTTCTTCACCTTCTCGCCACCCTTCACAGCCCTCACCCTGGGGAGTTTGAGCACTGCATGGGTCGCAGACCCTGTTGCTGGCACAGGTAAAGCCGATGCCCAGAAGCTGGAGAAGGAACCTGCAGCAGGGACTGCTGTCACAGCTGCTCCTGATAGTGGGCACCATTACTGCCTCTCGTCCCGCCCTTGCCCAACCGGTCTGCACAGCCCCAGCCTCTGTCACTGTCTCGTGGCCAAAGGCTGACATGTGGTCACCTGATTCGCAGAACCCAAGCCTTTTGCGATGTTACAGAAAGTAAACTTCATTTATGGAAGGAAGTGGCCTCTGCCTCCCACCCAGCCTCATTCTGGCTCACAGTCTCACTGGCTGCAGTCCACTGCTGACCAGCCCTGCTGCTTGGCCCCAACAGCAAGCAGCACATCACCCTGCTTGAATGCATGGCAGAGCAAAACCACATGCCTCACTGCCGGGAAGCAAGAGTGCAAGGAGGAATCCAGGGCCCCCAGCTCCCTAAAGGACCTCCCACCTCTCAAAGGCGGTACCACCTGCCAGAGGCTCCACCCTCATGACACCTTCTCAGGGGGACCCTGGACATCCAAACAGCAGCAAACGAGGCTGCTCAGATAAGGGTACACAGGAGACATTGGCACCCCACAAGCCCGGGAAAGGAAGATTCACCCCCCAGGATAATGAGTGAGTATCCATTGCACTCCATGACATAAGAGAATACTTAGGAAACTGGCTTTGAACCAGCACCCCCCCCCAAAAAAAAGGAACAAAAAATGATCTTGAGAACTTGTAATCACTACCTAGCACTCCTATTTCTTGCCCTGAATGTCTTTTTTTTTTTTTTTTTTTGAGCCAAATAACATTAAGCAATGATTTTACTTTGTAATTGTCCAGGAGTAGAACTTACCCAAAATTTGAAGGAAATAAAAATTCCCATAGGAATCTGCATTTAACTTGTCTGAAGAATTTACATAGTTCATTTTAAGACAGAAAAAAGCAGCTCAGAGGGGGAAAATGCATAAGTTAAATACAAGTGGGAGAACATCAACAGGATTGAGAACTAGCACAAAAAACAGATAGCAAAGAGAAGCTTGTGAAACTTCAATATTTGAGCCAGGTGTGGAGGCGCATGCCTGCAATCCAAGCATTTGAGAGGCTGAGGCAGGAGGATCACTGTTCAAGTCCAGGCTGGCAACATAGCTAGCCAGAACTACACAGCAAGACCCTGTCTCAAAAAATAAATAAAAATAAAAAATAGAACTTCAGCATTTGAATTACAGAACACAAAAGAATATATAACCAGTGTAAAGAAAAACCTGAAAATGCCTGTAAATGTAAGAAACTAAAAGTGGCTAAGCTTGTTTTAAAAAATTAGTTTTCAGAAGACAAAATAAGCATTTTATTTTAAAATTAAGTTCATAACTTTTGCTTTGAGTTATGAAGGAATAACAGCCAGATTCACTCTTGTATCAGATGTTAGAAATTCAAGCCAGGTGCGGTAGTACACACCTGTAATCTCAGCACTCAGGGGGCCGAGGTAAGAGCATCACCACATGTGAGAAGCCAGCTGAGCTACATAGTGAGTTCAAGGATGGCTGCACTAAAAGGAAAAGCCTGTCTTTGACCGGCGTAGCCCCTCAATGAGACAGAGGACGCTCTTGTGGGTAACAGGTAACTGCCGCTTTATTTACGCGGGCTCTGGTTTATATATTCGGCCGTGACCAATCACAGGCTGCCACGAGGAAGCCGGGCTGGAATGGGACGCAGGCTCTGGCTAATATACCCAGCTGTGGCCAATCAGGGGTTGCCACAGAGTCAGCACGGGGCGAATACGGAGTGAGCACGAGGTGCGCATGGGGTGGCTAATTTGGAGAGGGACGTAGCGCATTGCGGAAGCTGGCGTGGTCCTTAGTCCCGGGTGGGGTATGGTATGTTGAGCGCCTGCGCCCAACATGTCTTGAAAAACTAAGGACAAAAAAAAAAAAAGAAAAGAAATTCAGATACGTATGAAAAATAGACAGATCTCTGAACCAAAAGCATTACCGTGACGGCAATGTCTGAGAGGAGCGAGTGAAGGCAGTGAAGCCCACAGCTGTGACACCCTCCTGGGCCAGCCCCAGGACACCGGCAGGGAGAAGCCCACACAGCCCCACAGAGGGGACACAGCTGCCCATCCGGAGGTAGAATACGACATTAGTGAAGGTCACCGGAAATATGATCCTGGAAGGCTGAAGAGGGTCCTGTGGGCCGTGAGCTCATCAGCACATACTGAGGTGAAAACAGGCTGGTGGGAACAAAGGTGACAGAGCCAGAAGCGCTGTCCCCACTGAAAGCCTTGTATTTTGCTAGAGACTGAATATAGTACTCAGCAGGGCTGTGTGTCACATCAGTGAGTCACCAGCCTTGGATAAACACATTCTGGCTTTGCCCAGCAAATATTAAAAGGCAGATCCAAAAGGGTCAAACAGGTCCTGAATAACTTAATTTTTCTCAGGAATAAAACATGAAAACTTGTGGTATGCTTTTGTTGATACGCAGGACGGTCGGCCAGCTGAAGCTGGAGAAGCTGTGTTAGAACTCACAGTTTACACTTCACACAGTCCATCCACAGTAGTCAGGTGCCAGAGTAGCCAGCAACTGTCAGAGCAGGGAAGTGACCCCAGCTTCCCCCACGGCCAACATTTCACACTGCATTACACCATACGTTTCTGCAGGAGGTTCAAGACAAGCTAAGACCTGCATTCAACACAACCAGTTTCCTGCTTCCCATCAAGGTCAGTTAGGGCTCCTCAGGAGCTATTCTAGAACCACGCACAGTACCTCTAGGATCTTCTGTAGGTGTCAGCCATCTGGATGAGTCACAGCCACTGCCTGACCATGCTGCTTTCCGTGAAAGCTTGGGAGAATTTTCTCCTGGTGACTCTCCTTAGGCACACCTTACATTAAAGGTTACTTTCCTCTGTGGTCTCATAATCTTGATCAGAAGACTAGGAACTCACTGAGTAGAGAATGACACAGCAGAGGTTCTTTTACGTCCTGGGTCCCCACTGACCTTGAAGGGCTAGGGCCAAAATATTGGCTGTCCTTTAGCCCATTCGTCTAATTTTTGGTTTCTAAATCTTAGTTGTTGATCACCCAGAAGAAAAGATTGATAACAACACAGTATATTAGAGGCAGTAAGTTTAACATTACTGTCTTGTCTTAAATTTGAAGCACCTTAGAATATTAAATGAGAGGGCTGGGGATTTAGCTCAGCAGCATAAGCACCTGCCTTGTAAGCAGGCGTGAGTTTGATCCTCAGTACCGATTTAAAAAAAAAAAGAATATTAAATGAAACCTATTTCCTACTACCCATGGATATTTTAACATCTGCATACCTACAGTGTTCACAGTTACATATTTTACACAGTATATCAGGAATCAAAGCCGTACATATTATTATGTCATGACAATCAGGACACTCTCACAGTAATCCACATTTCCGTTTTGAAATGAAATATCTCTTTTAGCCAATCACTCTTATCTAATACACAAGAAACTTCTGACTTACTGACCTTTAGTGGAATGTGAATTTCACAAGTCTTGGATACCAGCAGAGATTTGAACATGAAAAAGAAGTCTATACCCTAAGCAATCCCTGTTTTACAACCTGGGACACCCATGCATCCAAAACCATGAATATATCCAATATATCACAAAGTTGGTATCAATCAACTGTCATGGCTATATGAAACTTTTGCACAGGCATTTTCAAAACAAAAAACTTTTTGTGTTGTTTCTTTTGGGTAATGACCAATGTGAATATATAACAATAATATATTTTATAACTTTTAGCTGGAGTGTCTCCTACAAGGCTATGGAGTTTCAAGGATTGGTTAAAAATGTTACCAGCCAGTTGATTTCTTATTTATCAATCACAGTCCTGTCCAACAACCACAACCCCAAGGGATTTTGTTTATTCATCCTAATATTATTTCTAAATAATGGGACTCTCAGGTCCAAAACAACATATTACACTTATTGCATCATTTGGACCAGCTGGCAACCAAGGTGAAAACATGCTTTGTAAATTTGTAACCCAAACAAATTTTTGATCAAACGATCTAAAACAGAAAAAGAGAAAACTTACTGAGCTCAAAAGGAACAGGTTTCACACAGCAGGCAAATGGACAAACATGGACAGATGATCTGTACAGATTCAAGTACAGAAATAAGCATACAGCCCATCGGGGTCCGTGAGAACTCTCCAAGTCCTCAAGGGGCCACTTATGTACTCGTACCGTACCGCTATGCTGAACCAGCTCACTTCTCCATGCTCTCAGTGCTGGAACACCTGTTCACCTCCAGCACCCCACGCCCTCGGGGTATTTCCCAGGTGCTCTGTGCCCCATGGGCACTCCTGTATGGGCATTTTTGCTCTCTGCTTTACACATGTAAACAATCACTAGCTCAGCAACTCCTAACACTGCTTGCAAACAGACTGGACAAATAGACAACAGATACACAGACAGACTGACAAACATCCTACAAAATCAGAGTGCACGCAAACACATCCTTAACCAAACTGAACTACAACTTGCAAATTTAGAATCTACAACTACAAATCAACCAGTCAGATTTTTATAGGCCAATTAGCAGAGATCTAGTATAAAAGGGTCCGGGTCAGCCAGGCTCAATTCACAGGGAGGCCAAACTGTGGATTTAGGTTGAGTGGCCTCCGGTTGGGGATCACATGAAACCATACCCTCCTCCCCAGGTCAGCAGCAGGGGTGCTGGTCCCTGCCCATCTGGATCTGGGGGCGCTTTGTTAGGGAGACCTAACAGTGGAAGGTAAGTGTAGGACAACATTCGTGCATATAAAAAGTCAGGAAGTTAAGGGCTTGGGATGAAAAACCTGCAAAGCAAGGATAACAGCAGACAGCACACCACACTGAGCAGAGGTTTGCGGCAGAGAATACAGGTGTTTCCAGGTGTTGTCAACTCAGTACGTTACAGCACCACAGCGGAGGGATCCATCAGTGAAGACGGTGAGGGCACCCTTTTAAAGGGGTGCAAACCAAACAAGTTTGAAGAGAGAAGGGAAGTAGGGTAAACAGGGACAAATGAGGAACACGGGGCATACTGAAAGAAATGGAACCAACATAGTCAGCCAAGGCTACCTGCAGAGAACAGCAGAAAGGAAAAGGCAGCCTTGGTGAGTGGTGTGACAATATCAAGTAAATCAGTTCCAAGTGCTCAAGTGCGTCCTTGAGAAATAGGAGAGGAAAGAGCATTGACAATGGGAAGTAAAGTACCGCCAGGTGGTGGGGCAAAACAAAAGCACCAGCTCCAGGGTCTAGCAAGCCTGGAAAGGAAATGTTGTCAATAGTTAGAGAGGGGCTTGGGCGCTCCTCTCCCAGGGGAACAGCAACAGCCACCACAGAGGAGCCAAATCCTTCATTTCCACAAGTGACATCATGAGCTTTAGAGGAGATGTAAGGCAAGACAATTAGCTGAGCTACAGATTCAGAAACATCTAGCTGAATGGGTAAGAGAAACCACAACTGAACCAGCAATACTCCAGTATAATCAGCACCAATGACACGGGAACCTCAAAAGTGCCTCTTTCTGATGCAAGTGAACGGGGAAAAACTAGGCCAGCTGTCCCGGGAGGTAAAGGACCAGAAAAGCAGTGGGAACCTTATAAACCATACCAGGAATTTCTGAGATAGTAGCAGGTTTCAAATACTTACCTTTTAAAGCATTTTTAGAGTCCTTGTTTGCATTTTCATATGCTAATTGCTTTAACAAAATAGAGGCTGCTGCCATATCCTTAACCAAACTGGGCATCCAGCAGCTTTAATCTATCTATAACAGTAAAGAAAGATTCAGTGGCCTCCTGTTTTAACAGCTCTAAAGGAACCTTGTGCATCCGCTGCTTCAGGGATTCTTTTGCGAGCTTTTAAAGCAGTTTGAGCCATTTGAGGATAAGCTTAGAGATGGCAGTGAACTTGTTGGCGAATATCTGGAAAAGCTCCCTCCCCTGTAATTCAGTAGCTCCTACAGGAGTATTGTGATCTAAATCATCTATAGCTTGTGTCTGCAGCGTCATTGTGTTCTTGGAGCCACACCTGATACTGGGCTGGAGTAACAAGAGTACGCAGTAAGGCTTTCCAGTCAAAAGGGGTCACCTCATAGCTGTGACCGACACCCTCAGTAACACCAATTACAAAAGTACTTTTAAATCCGTGTTCTCTGACAGCCTTTTAAAACTCTCTAAACAGAGCACTGCAAACTTTCAAAGCGGGCTCTTGTTCCTGTTGATGCAAAACAGGACAAGCAATTAACTCCCCATGTGTCTAGCTTCCTGGGCTACCTGTGTCATGGGAGTTAGGACGGGGAGTCACCCAGGGGTTTTACAAGGCTCGTGTCTTGCGGGGGGGGGGGGAGGGGGGATGAGGGAGGTGTAGAAGCAGCAGAGGCTGGCGCAGTTAGGAAACCAGGAAGCCAACCATGCGGTGTTCCACCTGCCTGCCTGCCAAATGCTGCCACAGCATCCCAGCAAAGATACCTGCTGTGCAAGAGAGAGACAGGAGTGCGAGACTCCTCATGCAGCAGTTTGCCTATCTTGTCACAGTCCTCCACAACGAGCATAGCCCCTCAGGATACCAGGGACAATGATCCTGAGTTTCCAGCAAGAGTTACATCACACTATCCTCAGAGGTGACACGGCCTGCCTTCCTGAAAAGGAAAAGCAGTTCTGCTTTATGCTTCTGCTGCACTACAGACAGAGAATTCCCCATGACCTACCCGATGAAGTTATGAAAGGGATACACACGACTAGGCAGGGCTTATCTTTCAAAATCAAAGCAGTTCAACCCTTGAAAGTTAATCAATACCACTTGTAAAGAAAAACCATGTTTACATCAATTGATACGCATAAAGAGCACTTGACAAAATATTTACTCATTCTAAAGCTTATCAGCAAACCAGAAAGGAACTTTCTAAACCAGATAAATCTATAAAAAAAGAAAAAAGTGTCTCAAGCCTCCTCCCAGGGCCAAGGAGCTAAGAATGTTTCCTCTTAAGCACCCCGGTCCTGTTCAACACTGAATTGGGGTACAGCTCACAGAGCCAAGGAGAAAGAAACACCAGCCACTCAGACTGGAAAAGAGAAAATATAATTCCCTGCAGAGGAATCCTCACAGAACCTACTAAAAAAGCTATTGGAATGTGTGAGTTTATCAAGCTACAAATAAAATAAATAAAATAAAGGCCAGCGAATAAAATTCAACTGCATTTGAATTTACTGACAATGAGCAATCAAAAAAATTTTTTTAAGAACCACTGATAAAATATGTGTAGTATCTGTAGACTGAAACTGTTAAAAAAGAGGTGGGGGAAATCAAGGACAGCCAAATAAACAGTGAGGTAACTGCGGTCATAGGTCAGAAGGCACAATTGTGCATAGCTGACAGTTCTCTCCAAACTGATTGACAGGTTCTCAGCAGAATGTTCTGTGGATACCTTTAGATTCCAGCAGTACTTTTTTTCCTCCAGGTTTTCCTCTTTATTCCTCGCCCCCCACCCCAATTTTTTGTTTGTTTTTGAGACAGGGTCCCACTATGTAGCCCAGGCTGACCTCAAACTCGTGGCAAGCCTCCTGCCTCAGTGCTGTTTTTCTTGGGTGCGGCTCACCAAGCCTCATAGTCAGGGAGGTGGATGAACCTAGCATTTGTGATAGGTTTGTTGCCTAGCGCTGGGATTGGCAGTGTGAGTGCTGCACCCACCCAGGGCAGGTAGCTGGCACACAATATAAGGGAGGGAGGGAGGCCTTTTTCCTTTTGCCCTTTAGCCACGACACCCTGCCTTGGAAACAGCTGAGTATGGACTGAAACCTCCCAAAACTGTAAGTTAAACAACCCTCTCCTTCCTTCATTTTGGGTGTCAAGTATTTTACCTCAGCAACGAGAGAAAAGTAACCAGAATTTGGTACCACGAGTGGAGCCACTAATGTGGCTATTCCTGACCACGTGGTCCAAAAGCCTTTGGGAATGGTCTGTGCGAAATTTGGAAAGGTTCAGAGATGTCACCAGAAAGCACAGAGCTGGAACAGCTTAGGTTGTTCTGTATGGGAGAGTCTGGTCAGGCTCAGAAGACCAGAAAACCAGTACAGTTGGCTTCAGGCTTGAGAAGTTTCTGCTAGGAAGTACTGCACTGGTTGTTGGACTCCAGACAACATGTGTTATGACTTGGCAGAAATGTCTGCAGTTTGCTCATGTCCAGAGACTTTGCCTGAGACTCTGGATGGTGGACTAATTATTCTGGCAGAAAAAATTTCAAAGTAGTCAAATTTGAGGCTGTGGCATGGCCGGTGTTGGGGGCTTTTAGTCAGATTTATGTTGCAAATCAAAAGCAAAGAGCCCAGCAGGGTCATTTGAAATGCTGTCAGTTTGGCCAGGAGAAAAGTTTCTATAACGCCGCAGACCGCAAAGATAGAACTGAGATCTGTATTGCTGAGAAGGAACAGGCGAATAGAAAAGATGTCTTTGGGCATCACAAGCAGTAGCGGGTCCCCATGCTTTGTAGCCTCAAAACTACAGAAGTAACTTTGCTTTGAGGAGAAAGCCAGAGTGCCATGTTCCACACTCAGCAGCAGCCACACCAGGTTCCAGAGTGGCAGTGACAGAAAATTTGTTCTTCAGAACTGGATTCAGAGTACCCAGCAATCCAGGTACTTGATCATTACAGGGCAAAGCCTAGTCATTGCTCCAACTGGCAGCAGATCTTATTAGCATCATCCATGTGGTGCTGGATTTAGGTACAAGCAGACTGCAAGAGTTCTGAGGTTAAAAAGGCTTCCACCCCAATTTCAGGAGGCCTGGGAGGCCAGCCATTGTACTGCGAGGACAGTGTGTGAAGCCAAAGGTGCAATGGAGAAGTTTGGAAAAGCCAGGCGTGTAGATTGTCTGAGGAAACCTGCAAGGAGGGAGCAAAGCCAGCCAGAGAGAAGTCATCGGAGCTACAACCACCAGAAGTGCCATCGGGTGGAGTCACTCAAGCCTTTTGGAGCTTACAGCCCCATTGCTTCAGATGCTGAATGTGGAACTCCAGGACTTAGTTTGCCCTGCTGGATTTGATCCCATTTCTTTGTATCATGTTTGTACTCTTTGGAATGGTAATGCTGGTCTTGTGTGATTGAACATTGGAAGTGTTTAACTTTGTTTTGATTTGTACAAGAAGTACAGCTAAGACTTTGCCTTTGAGCTCAGGGGAGACTTGGGACTTGGACTTTTCAGCAACGCTGAACCTAAGACTCAAAGTCTCATGCAGCATAGAGGCAGACAAATTTAGCATCTGTAAAGCACTGGTATTGGCAGTGTGAGTGTTGTACCTGCCAGGGGCGCATAACTGGCAAACCACACAAGGGAAGGAAGGAGGCCCTTTTCCCTTTCTGCTCTTGTTACTTGTGGTCACCATGAACGGGGTGCCCTTTAGCCAAGTCACTCTGCCTTAGAACCAGCTGAGTGTGGACAGAAACCTCCAAAGACTGTAAGCTAAATAAACCTTCCCCTCCTTCATTTTGGGTGTCAAGTATTTCGTCTCAGCAACAAGAGAAAAGTAACCTGACCAAGACATTCAGCCTCCCAAATGCTGGGACTACAGGTGCATACCACCATATCCTGCTAAGAATATTTTATTTTTTTAGAACAGTATTTTAAGTGTGTACTCATTCTTTTTTAAGAATTACCTTTCCTTAGATTACTACAATTCATTTTTTCACATTCTTACATTGGAAATCTCTTGGTATAAATCAAAACTCAGCGTTAGTCCATCTTTCCTGAACCTCAGACCCTTCTGAAACAAACATTAGTCTTATTTAGAAGAATATACTTCTATCACCACATGCACAGAGCTCAGTTCTACAAATGTTGAGGAATGAGGTCACAAACCAAAAGAGGTATGGTGACTTTTACTGGAGTTAAGAATCGTTCCTGGGGTTCCTGGGGCACCTCGGCCTGTGCCCAGCCACGCCTGGCCATCGGTGTGCGGAGGAGGAGCTGCGCAGATCCGGAGCGCCTGCAGAGGCCCCTTCCTTTGTCTGGAGGAGGAGGGATCCCGGGTTCCTGAGGCACCTCGGCCTGTGCCCAGCCGCGCCTGGCCATCGGGGTGCGGAGGAGGAGCTGCGCGGATCCGGAGCGCCTGCAGAGGCCCCTTCCTTTGTCGGGAGGAGGAGGGATCCCGAGTTACTGAGGCACCTCGGCCTGTGCCCAGCCGCGCCTGGCCATCGGTGTGCGGAGGAGGAGCTGCGCGGATCCGGAGCGTCTGCAGAAGCCCCTTCTTTTGTCTGGAGGAGGAGGGATCACGGGTTCCTGAGGCACCTCGGCCTGTGCCCAGCCGCGCCTAGCCATCGGTGTGCAGAGGAGGAGCTGCACGGAACCCGAGCGCCTGCAGAGGCCCCTTCCTTTGTCTGGAGGAGGAGGGATCCCGGGTTCCTAAGGCACCTCGGCCTGTGCCCAGCCGCGCCTAGCCATCGGTGTGCAGAGGAGGAGCTGCGCGGGTCCGGAGCGCCTGCAGAGGCCCCTTCCTTTGTCTGGAGGAGGAGGGATCCCAGGTTCCTGAGGTACCTCGGCCTGTGCCCGGCCGCGCCTAGCCATCGGTGTGCAGAGGAGGAGCTGCGCGGATCTGGAGTGCCTGCGGAAGCCCCTTCCTTTGTCTGGAGGAGGAGGGATCCCGGGTTCCTGGGGCACCTCGGCCTGTGCCCAGCCGCGCCTAGCCGTCGGTGTGCAGAGGAGGAGCTGCGCGGATCCGGAGCGCCTGCAGAAGCCCCTTCCTTTGTCTGGAGGAGGAGGGATCCCAGGTTCCTGAGGCACCTCGGCCTGTGCCCAGCCGCGCATAGCCATCGGTGTGCAGAGGAGGAGCTGGGTGGATCCGGAGTGCCCGCAGGAGGCCCTTCCTTTGTCTGGAGGACTGTGGATATCTCTGCAAGCAGGGAGGGATCACAGGCTCCTGAGGCACTGCGGTCTGTGGTGAGTACCCTAACCCGGCTGCGATCCAAGAGCTGTGGATCTACCAAGGGGCAGGTGGGCGCACAGTGTCCCTGAGGCCCAGCTTGTCTGGAACCGCGGAGTTCTGAACAAGCAGAGAAGGGTCATTGGTTCTGCAGGCCCAATGGCCTGGGGTAGAGTGGTGCCAGAGTCTCAGTAGCTGCAAACATAGAAGGGGATTTTCAACAGATCCTGAGGAGGCTTTCAAATAACACTTGAAACACAGAAATATAGGAAAATGACAAAACAAAAGACCAAATTACAACCTCAAACCTCCAGCCCATCTCAGGAAACACTAGGAGAAGTGTATTTAGAAGAAAATATATCCCATCCTCCTCATATATCAGACACAATAGCTACTGAAGTTGACAAGCAACTCCAGGAAGCTTTAAAGAAATTCAAACTCGAAATAATATCCCAGATAAAAGAAGAAATGATAAAAGAAATGAAAGAGATTCTAAATATATCTAAAGAAAACACAGATAAAAAATTGGAGGAACTAAACAAAAAGATAGAATCCCTAGATGAGCAATATAAGAAACAAACAGAATACATAATGCAGATGCACAGAGATATACAGGAAATAAAAAACTCCACTGAAAGTTGTAAAAACCGCCTTAATGAAAGTGAAGATAGAATTTCAGACCTTGAAGACAGGATTGCAGCTAGTGAACAGGAAAGGAAAGATCTTTTAAAAATAACAAGGAATCAGGAAACAACAATTCAACAACTGCAAGATGATGCAAAGAAGAATAACATAAGAATGATAGGGATTAATGAAAAAGAAGGAGACAACATAAAGGATATCAAGAGGATATTTAAAGAAGCAATAGCTGAAAACTTCCCAAGCATGAGATCAGAAACTGACATCAGGATCAGTGAAGCATATAGAACTCCAAATAGTCATAACCAAAATAAAACTACACCCAGACATATAATAATCACCATCCCAGAAATCCAACACAAGAATAGATTATTAAAAGCTGTCAGAGAGAAAAGACAGATCACTTATAAAGGAAAACCTATCAGAATCACAGCAGACTTCTCAGCACAAACAATAAAGTCAAGAAGAGCATGGAGTGAAGTATTCCAGATCCTAAAGCAAAATGATTTCCAACCTAGACTGATATATCCTGCAAAACTATCATTTAAAATAGATGGTGAAATACGATACTTCCATGACAAAGAACAGCTGAAGAACTTCATGAACACCAAACCAACCCTGCAAAAAATATTGAAAGACAGTTTAGATACACAAAGGAAAAAACCACTAAGCAAAGCAAATAATTAAACAGAGCAGAAAGATAAAGATGCAACAGCAGAGAGATAAGAATCCTACAATTAACCAACATTTAACAGTAATAACCATTAATGTAAATGGTCTCAATGCACCAATCAAAAGAAACAGACTAGCAGAATGGATGAAGAAACAAAATCCAACCATATGCTGTTTACAGGAAACCCATCTAACCCAGAAGGATACTCACAGACTGAAAGTCAAAGGATGGAAAACAATTCTTCATGCAGCAGGAATCCAAAAAAAGGCAGGAGTAGCCATTCTGTTTGCAGACAACGTGAACTTTAAACCAACAATGACCATAAAGGATAAAGAAGGTCACTACATACTCGTAAGGGGAAAACTCCAAGAGGATGAGATAACTATCTTAAATATATACGCACCAAACTCCAGAGCGCCCAGTTATATAAAACAATTATTAACAGAAATGAAAACTCAAATTATCAGTAACACAATTGTAACAGGAGACCTTAATACGCCATTGACACCAAGGGACAGATCGACCAGACAGAAAATGAGTAAAGAAATAACAGAACTGAATCATACCTGTGAACAAATGGGTTTGATAGACATATACAGAATGTTCCACCCAACAACATCAGAATACACATTCTTCTCAGCAGTACATGGATCATTTTCTAAAATAGACCATATATTAGCTCATAGAACATATTTAAACAAGTGCAAAAGAGCTGAAATCATCCCTTGCATGTTATCGGATCACAGCGCTCTGAAATTAGAAATTAACGATCAAAGATACTGCAAAAATCCCACAAACACATGGAAACTGAATAACACACTCTTGAGTAATCAGTGGGTCACAGAAGAAATTAAAGAAGAAATCAAACAATACCTAAAAGAAAATGAAAATGCAGATACAACTTACCGGAATCTGTGGGATGCAATGAAAGCCGTCCTGAGAGGAAAATTTATTGCACTGAGTTCCCACATCAGGAAAACAGAACGAATACAAATAAATAACTTGATGCTACACCTCAAACAGCTAGAAAAAGAAGAGCAAGTCAAGCCCAAAGCCAAAAGAGAGGAAATTATAAAAATCAGAGCAGAAATCAATGCAATAGAGACTAAGAAAACAATCCAAAGGATCAACAAATCAAAGAGTTGGTTCTTTGAAAGAATAAATAAAATCGATAAGCCCCTAGCCAACCTTATTTAAAAAAAGGAAGAAAAAGCTCAAATTCATGCAATAAGAAATGAAAAAGGAGAAGTCGCTACAGATCCAATAGAAATACAGAAGATCATCAACACCTATTTCGAAAACCTCTACTCTCAAAAGTTTGATAACACAGAAGAAATAGACAGTTTCTTAGAAGCATATGAAGTGCCAAAGCTAGATCAAGAGGATGTAAAATTGTTGAATAACCCAATCTCGGTTACTGAAATTGAAAATGTAATTAAGTCCTTACCCACCAAGAAGAGCCCAGGCCCAGATGGATTCACTGCAGAATTCTACAAGAAATACAAAGAAGACCTAATGCTGACACTCCTCAAACTATTCAATGAAATTGAAAGGGAAGCAATCCTTCCTAAGTCATTCCTGGAAGCAAATATCACTCTAGTACCAAAACCTGAGAAAGACCCAACTAAAAAAGAGAACTATAGACTGATCTCCCTAATGAACACAGATGCAAAAATCCTCAATAAAATATTGGCAAATAGGATCCAGCAAATCATCAAGAAGATTATACACCATGACCAAGTGGGATTCATCCCAGGAATGCAAGGATGGTTCAACATACACAAATCAATAAATGTAATCCACCATATCAATAAAGCCAAAAATAAGAATCACATGATCATTTCTATAGATGCAGAAAAAGCCTTCGATAAGGTCCAACATTTATTCATGATAAAAACTCTACAGAAAATTGGAATAGATGGTCTTTACCTCAATATAATAAAGGCCATCTATGACAAACCAACAGCCAGCATCATACTAAATGGCCAAAAATTGAAAGCCTTTACTTTAAAATCAGGCACAAGACAAGGATGTCCTTTATCACCACTCCTATTTAATATAGTACTGGAAGTACTAGCCAGAGCAATTAGGCAAGAAAGAGAAATAAAAGGGGTAAAGATAGGAAAAGAAGAAGTTGTCATTGTTTGCAGATGACATGATACTCTACATAGAAGACCCCCTAAGCTCCATTGAAAGACTCTTAGATACAATAAATAAATTCAGTAATGTGGCTGGATACAAAATCAATACTCAGAAATCAATAGCATTCCTATACACAAACAACAAAACCACAGAGAGGGAAATAAGGGAAACTGGACTATTCACATTAGCAAGCAAAAAAATGAAATATTTAGGAATTACTCTTACGAAAGAAGTGAAAGACTTATACAGTGAAAACTATATTACACTGAAAAAGGAAATTGAAGATGATCTCAGAAAATGGAAAGACATCCCTTGCTCATGGATAGGAAGAACAAACATTGTGAAGATGGCCATTCTCCCAAAACTCTTATACAGATTCAATGCAATCCCAATAGAAATACCATCAACATACCTTATAGATCTAGAGAAATCACTCCTAAATTTCATCTGGAACCAGAAGAGACCTAGAATCGCAAAAGCAATTCTAAGCAGCAAAGACAAAGCAGGAGGCATCACAATCCCTGACTTGAAATTATACTACAAAGCAACAGTAGTAAAATCAACATGGTATTGGAATCAAAACAGAGCTGAAGATCAATGGAATAGATTAGAAGATACAACCACAACTACAAACACACTCAACCACCTTATCTTTGATAAAGGAGCCAAGCAGGTTCACTGGAAGAACGACAGTCTCTTTAATAAATGGTGCTGGAAAAACTGGCTCTCCATTTGCCGAAAACTAAAGCTAGACCCATGTCTATCACCATGTACTAAATTAAAATTTAAATGGGTCAAAGATCTGAATATTAAAACAGAAACGCTAAATCTATTGGAAGACAAATTGGGTAGAAACCTTGGAGACATAGGAGTAGGTACAGAATTCATGAATAGGACTCAAACTGCACGGGAAATACTTCCCAGAATCAATAACTGGGACCACTTCTTATTAAAAAGTTTTTGCATGTCAAAAGAAATCTCCAGCATAGTGAAAAGAAAACCCACAAACTGGGAAAAGATTTTAGTGAACTCTCTCTCAGACAAGGACTCTTGTCTAAAACATATAAAGAATTAAAAAAACTCAGACCTCCAAAATTCAAAGATCCAATCCAAAAATGGGCATCTGAGATGAATACGCAATTCTCAGATGAAGAAATGCAAATGGCAAATAAATACATGAAAAAATGCTCATCATCATTGGTCATTAGAGAAATGCAAATTAAAACCACACTGAGATACCATCTCACTCCTGAAAGAATGGCCAGGATCAAGAAAACCAACAACAACAAATGCTGGAGAGGCTGTGGGGAAAAAGGAACTCTCCTGCACTGCTGGTGGGAGTGTAGACTGGTACAGCCTTTGTGGAGGTCTGTCTGGAGGTTTCTCAAAAAGTTGGGATTGGAAATCCCATTTATTCCAGCTATTCCACTTCTAGGCATATTCCCAGAAGAACTGAAAGCATCATACCACAGGGATATATGTGCACCTATGTTTATAGCAGCACAATTTGTAATTGCCAGATCTTGGAAACAACCCAAGTGTCCATCAACTGAGGAATGGATAAAAAAGTTGTGGTATTTCTATACAATGGAGTATTATTCAGCTATAAAGAAGGATCGCATTGAGATATTTATCAATAAATGGGCGCAGCTTGAGACCATACTCATAAGTGAAATAAATCAATCTCGCATGTATGAATACCGAATAGTTTCCCTAATGTAAGTAATGATTCAAATATATAAAAATATGTGATAATCATGATTCCCCATTATGTGGCCTTGAAGCCTTATAAAATTTTCACTTATTAATTAGAAAGAAGGCTTTATTCTGGGCTTTTTGATATGGAAATATTTGAAGCTATAGTATATGAAGTTTTATCCAAATATTTTAAGGAAAAAGACAGACACTATGGTAACTACTATTCTTTAAAAAAAATTATTTAGCTATTTCTTATGTTTATTTTAATTAAGGGAAAAATTTAAAAAATTAGGATATATAGTAGTAACTCTTTTTGATCTCCTATTAACTTGTTTTGAAGTCCTGTAATACTCCCAAGATCTTGTTTTGACTGATTAGACTCCGTTCCATTCTGTGCGATAGTAGCAAGTCTGAAGGTATAGGCAACTAATTTGAAGGCAGTAAGATTCACAAAGATGCCCATTCTGGTTTGACTATTGTCTCCTTTGGAAGTCCTGTAATGTTCACAATGCCTAAGTTTTATTGGTCTTGTTCTCCACTGTTTTGTCCGGCTTTATAATATCTAATGAGATGGACAATTCCTTTTAAGGAAACAAGAGACAATGTTGATAACCATTGTTGATGACCTTGTACTCTGTTCTACATCATGTGCTATGTCTATCCTTGGTTTTGACTTACAGCTTTGTTTTGCCATATTTGACTTTATTCTCTACCCCCCAAAAAAGTAATAAGAACTAAGGAGTAATAAAATCCAAAATGTGTAAATTTTGTTGTAAAAAAGAGAGGGAGGGGAAAAAAAAAGAGCTCTAACGGATATAACAGCAAGTGTGTTTAGGGATGTTAAATAGCTGACTATATTAATGTTTTTGGATCATTGAACACAGCTGTTTGCAGTCTCTCTGTTTGAATGTCTACTTTGTATTCTTTGATACTGTGATTTGAGCAACTATTTCCAAGATGATAATATGTAATCTATTAACAGGTGATTTCTTACTGTTATGTTTTTTTTTTTGTAGTTCTGTATTATGTGTAACCTTACACTGCTTTGTTTTGTTTTGTGTTTTTCTCTTTTTCCTCTTAAATAAAAAAAAAAAAAAAAAAAAGAATCGTTCCTGGGCTTCCAGAAGGGGTCCTGAGCGGAGTGGTGGCCAAATGGCCCCTGGGTCCAGAGTTAATTATAGATGAACAGAGCACAGGAGCTGCTCAGTTGTTCAGTGGGCTCCTACCACAGGGCCGCTCTGTGGATTTAAAATGATCCTTTGGGACTTAGGCTTCTAACCCACACGTAAGATTTAAAGAAACTGAGATGTTAGAGAAAAAAAACGTAAGTGTTTTTAATTTTAATAATCTCAGAGCTCGGGAGCTCAGTAAGGAGCAGGCTACATTCCTCATGGACGAAGTTCACTGCATTTAAATCCTCAGAACTAGCTTAGTACGGGTGTGCATCTTAAGTTGCCTGAGCAAGGTCTTTCTCTGCCCAAGGTCCTCGCTGGCTGGCTGTTCTTGATTCTTGTCAACATGGCTGACCACTCAACTCTAACTCAGGCCCTTTCCTAGCTAGCTGCCTTAGTACTAAGCTAACTAAACTATTTTCTATACTTATATCCTAGTACATTTATGAATCCAGTGTATCAAAGAACAAAATAAAAAACCTGTGGCAGGATCTCAAAATCCCCTTCATTATAGATAGCTAATAGGAGGAAACATTGCGGGCAGTCAGACTGGGCTGGGCTCCGAAGGAAGACAGTACAGAGGACCCATGAAGACGGGCTAGAGGCATCTGCGGAGTAAGGTCCCAATGGCCAGATTTACACTTCCCTTGGCATAAAGGGAGGCATCATCCCTTTTAGACATTCCATTATTTCCCTAAGGTGGGCCATTCTCTCCCACCAAGACTACAGACCAAACCAGATTATCAACTAAAGTTAACGATGCCATCCATATGCCCTGGCTACCACTGGATCAGTATTACCTCAGTGACTGTATTTGTAATCTTATTGGTTGATCTTAATCTTGAGCCATGATGCGCCTCTCTCATGATTTTGCTCTGTAAGACTTCCTTTGAGAAGTGTGCTCATTGGCCACCCCTTGGGACTCCTCCTCCTCTCTCTCAGGAGCTATTCCTATTCCCTGTTCCTAGTCTCCAACAGGTTTTCATACTCTTGTTCCTCAGAATTCATTCTTTGACTTCAGGAACACAAACTCAGCCCGTGTGATATCTAGCCCTTCCCTTACATCACCTTTATCATTTTCTGTATTAAATAAATATAAAACTAACAGATCACAGCACTGTGCTAACGAGAGGGGGTGTTGTTTTGCATTTAGAGGCACTGGAGGTTGAGTCCACGGCTTTCACACCGAGCTACATCTCCAGCCACCCACCCCCAACTTAGTTTAAATTTTGAGACAGTCTGCTAAGACAGGAAAGCTGGCCTGAACTTGAGATCCTGCTGCCTCCCTCCCATAGGGCTGGGATTACTCTCTTTCCAATTATTTTTCTTTGAAACCTACTGGGGGTACTTTTACTATTGTTCAGAGAGGTCAGCAAACTGGTCCACTCTCTACATCTACATTATGGCCTGAAAGCTAAGCTAGATTTAACTGTTTTAAATCACTGGAGAGAACTCAAAGGGCAATATTTCATGACACACAAAAACACGAAATTAAGTTCAGCACCAGAAAGCTTTAATGAAATACAACTGTACTCATTCATTCCTACTACTCAATGATGTCTTCACACTATCAAGTCTGGGTTGAAAATTTTGCAATGCCAAAAAGACAGGCTCTTTAGCTCTTCATCAAAACTGCTTATTTAGTTGGCTTATGAATGAAGCAGCTAGTAAGCTCTTAGCTAAAGGAAGGGCCTCAGAGTTGGGGACCAAACATATCAATAATTAACATAAAAAGAGACAGAAGTAGGATTTAAAACCAGGGTTAAACGTCCTCAGGTAGCCAGGAAGGCAGCCCAGCCCCTACTGAAGGGAGGTGCAGCCACTGCTGATTAAGGTCCCAAGTTCTGAGGAAATTAAAATACAAATAACCAGGCTAGACAGCCGTTGTTTCAACTGAGCATTTTAAATGTACACAGTCATCTGTGGCAGGAGGTCACTAAGATGAACAACTCCTGTGCTCTGCTTATCTCTGAACGGCTCTGGAGAGGGGCTATCAAGCCTCTGGACCTGCCAGGAAGGCCAGGAGCTGTTCTTATTTCTAATAAAAACCCTTACCCTTCTGGTTCATGACTTCATTCCTCAATGTTCAGAGACCACAAGCTCAGTACTGACAGCAATATCGCTTTGCTCTTCATAATTTTACCTAAACATTCTCCCCCTTTTCCTTTCACAGAAAGTATAAACTTCCCTTAATAATCTACTAATTTTCAGTCTAGCACATTCTCAATGGTCATTAAAAATGTATTTCCTCCTAGTAATTTTTTAAATGACGTTCCTGATCATCTATAAGCAGAAAGCCAGAAAGCATTTGACATCTTAAACGCTACAAAATTAACAAATCAAAAGCAGAAGCAAATTTCATCATCATTACTCTGCTCCCACAGTCTAAAGAGGCTGTTAGCAGCTTTCAGACTACCTCATCTTAGAATGGAGGTTAGGTGTCTGTGGAATGTAACAAATGCTTCTGCCAAAATCTCTACTGATCACTAGCAGTGAATGGAAACACAGCTAACACTGTATGTGTAGTTTTCTCAAGTTTAACCTCCCAGTTATTGGTTACCAAGAAAAAGTGAACAAAAGCCAAGGGAACAGTAAAAACAGGAAATCAACAGGACTATCGTAATCGGCAAGTCTGACCCTAAATCTTGGTCATCTGACTGTGTTTAATGCAAGCAAATAGTTTCTGGCTCCCAGGATGAAAAGTTAAACACTGCACAATTTGTAAATAGAATCACAAAAGGTACACAAGTCCAACTCCTTCCTCTGAGAAAACCGTTGGGAGCCGCTAAGCTAGTGATAGTTCACATGTGTGGAGCAAGTGCCTGTACAGGAGCGCCTGAGACACTCTGAAAGCATGAGGTGCTGGAGGGGAACAGTATTCCAGCCCCAAGAACAGGGGAGAACAAAGGGTGGAAGAAGCCAGCTAGTTCAGCAAGGGGGCGTGGTGTGCTAAGTGCGTAAATAAACACATCGCAGTGGTTGAGCAGTCTCTTCTTCCTATCCCGTGAAGGCTCCACCTGACCCCAGCTGTCTCTTATTTTCTTCATCCTCTCGGCGTTCTATCCTCGACCCCCCACCCCGCAACTTTGCTCTCGCAAACACCGAAAGAAAAGGACGACACATTAACATGTGCTCATCAACGTTGCAGCACCCCCAGAGCCGACGCGGGTAGTGCGCGACAAGCTTTTGCCCCGGCAGTGACACACATACACTCACCTCGCCAACACCAACTCCTCCTGGGCCACACCACAGCTGCACCGCTTTCCTCCAAAAGCTCGTAGCCGCAAACCTCCCAGCAGCAGGAGAGCAGACCGGGGAGTAGACTCAGAGTGCAACCGCGCGGGTGCCCACCCCGTGCACGCCGAGCACCTCTGCTCTCGCGGAGACACTTAAGTCGCAGCCCCCGGCGAGCACCACCGGGCCCGGCGCACCCCTCGGTGTAGCGCAGCCGTGCGCCAGCGCCGCAGGCTCAGCACGGCCGTACGCGAGTGAGCGGTGCATGCGGCTGCTCCGCCGCCCTGGACGCAGCGCGGGGAGCGCCGACCCCGGCCTGGACGCGAGACAGTCGGAAGTGACGTGCGGCTGGTGCTCCGAGCCGCCACGTAATTGGCCGTCGCCGCCGCTGCCGCCTCGCCGGGCGCCGGGGAAAGGGAAAGTGGCTGGAAGCCCACGCCCGCTGCCGCCCCTCACCGCGACCCCCGTCAGCACCGCGCCCGCCGGCAATGGGCCTCGGCGCCGCATACGCGCATGCGCGGCGCGCGACCCCGGCGGAGCACTGGATTTTCCCGGACGCCGGCGCCTCGACCACCTGCCCCGGCGCGACCTGACGCGCGCCTGACCCGGACTGCCCGCCGCCACCACCGTCTCCGCCTCGGCCGTCTCTGCCTCCGCCTCCTCCGACAAGGCGGACTCGCCAGGCCCCGCCGGTGCCCGTCGCCCGAGCTGCGCGGCGCGGCTTCCGCTTCCGGCGCATTGTGTGTCGCGCCGCGGGCGGGCGGGGGCGCGGAGGAGGAGGAGGAGCGGGCAGCGCCGCGGCCGAGCCGCTCCGACCGCGGCCGGGAAGGTAGGTCCCCGCCGCCGCCCCGGGCCGCCGTCCCGCGCTCCCCCGCCGCGCCCACATCAGCCGCCCGCACGCAGCACGCCCCCCGCGCGGCCGAGGACGCGGGCGCCCCGGCGACGTCAGCGCGTCCGCGTTGCTTGGCTACCCCGCCGCCGGGCCGCGTCGCGGAGAGCTGCCGCCTGCGCCCCGCCTTCGCGCCCTGCCCGCCCCGCGCCGGCCCTCGCTTCCTCCTGCGTCCGCTCGCGTCCTGGCCCGGCCACGGTGGGACGACGGCCCGGGCTGCACCGCGCGGACCCTCGGGAGGTTGGAACCTGAGTGGTGATGGAGACGAAACAGGGACGCCCCGAAGTTCGCCCTCCAGAGACAGGAACCAAGGGTGAGGCAGGACCGAGCCCGAGCTCCCGGGCCTCAACTTGACCGGCCAACGAGTCCGCGCCGTTCTGCACGGAGCCTCCCCACCTCTCCCCGCGCCACCTTTGTGGCACTCCAGACCCATCCTGGTCCCTAGATGTGCGCACCGTTTAGAGCATCTTGGGCAAGGAGGCCGCCAAAGCCTAGGAGACTGGGAAAGGGACCCAGCCAGGCTCCAGTCAAAGTAGGGTTCACGTGGGAGAGGCAAATCATCTGACTGCACTTCTTCCCTGACAGTGAGCGAAGAAACTGGGGTCCAAATAATTTACCACCTCCTACTCCAAATTGAACACTTCCACAGTTCCACCAATACAGATAATCGTCGTTACTGGCTCATCGCAGGGCCAGTTCTCTGTCAATGCATAGACCTACCAGCCTTCTTTTGGTCCGGTTCCATGCCAGGGGAAGCAAAAGGGAATACCAGAATAGAGAAACAGACTTATTCCTGGATTAAAGTATGATGTTTTCAGGATGGAGTGGAGGAGAGCAGCCTTCTCTTTTATAAATCAGTCCGATGTCACAGTGAGGCTTCACCTGAGGGAGATTGCCTGTTATAATTCCCAACTGCTCCTGAACCTGTTAAAGACACAGTATGTCCAAAGAAATTAGTTTTCAGTAGCTATTTTGAAAGACTCCAGTCCCTGCTGAATATTTAGAATAAGCAGACTTGCCAGTGCTCTTCAGAAAGTCACTGTCCCTAAATTAGGCTTAGTAGTGTGTTCTCTAGCAGAACTGCTGTGTATTTATCAGTGTTCAGCAATTCCAACTGTCAGGACGCACACAAGTACAAAGGAGATGTGTGAAGCATTTCAGATTTTCCAGAGAAGAGATTGTTACCTTTGCTTAACTCATTGTGTGTAGTACCCTCTGAGAGAAAGGAGTAGCAGAGAATCAAGCTTCGGTTCCAGTGGGCTATAATGATCTCTAATATGACGTGGGACTTTAAGGAATCCATACTTGCTTTAAATGGCTTTAAATGCCTCATCTCACTTCCCATGCTCTGTTTTTGTTTATTATTTTTTAAAATATGTGAAACTAGGCTACAGTGGCCTAGAACCATTGGGTGTAAGAGGTGGAATGAGGCTGGGCCAGGAGAAGTATCTGAGGCTAGAGCCAGAAAATGCCTGCTTCTAATATAGCAAGCAGAAGAAAGAAGAGACCGAGGGCTGTGTGTCATTTTGCTGAAGGAAAAAAAAGAATTGATGGTTGAAGTCCTAAGTTTGAAAAATGGAGACACAACCGATGAATTTAGAGGAAGAAAAGGTGGAAAATAGGAAGTTGGGCTAGATCTGTAGTTAATCTTTAACATGGGGGCAGCTGTCAGCCTACCACTAATACTTCTTTCTCTGTCTCCTTCCCCACCATCAAGTAAATAATGGAAGAGACAAGTCTGTTAGAGGCTGGAGCCTCTGCAGCCTCCACAGCTGCAGCTCTGGAGAACTTACAGGTGGAGGCCAGCTGCTCGGTGTGCCTGGAATACCTGAAGGAGCCTGTCATCATTGAGTGTGGCCACAATTTCTGCAAAGCTTGCATCACGCGCTGGTGGGAGGACCTGGAGAGGGATTTTCCTTGTCCTGTCTGTCGGAAGACATCCCGATACCGCAGCCTCCGGCCCAACCGGCAGCTGGGCAGCATGGTTGAGATTGCCAAGCAGCTGCAGGCTGTCAAGAGGAAAATCCGGGATGAGAGCCTCTGCCCCCAGCACCATGAGGCGCTCAGCCTGTTCTGCTATGAGGACCAGGAAGCTGTGTGTTTGATCTGTGCCATTTCCCATACCCACCGGGCCCACACCGTCGTGCCACTGGATGATGCGACGCAGGAATACAAGGTGGGCAGCCAGATGCATGATGCCCAAGGAGGAAGGAGGGATGAGCAGTGGTGTGGCAGGCATCCCGGGCTGAGGGGTTCAAGTTCCTGAGGGCAAGGCCATTTGGTCCTCATTCTGTAGTTCCAGAGCAGTGTCGAGGGATACTCTGTGCTCAGTCTTCAGTCCTGCTGGTCAGTTGTCCTCTGCATGGGGTGGGGGTGGGTGGCCCACCAGAATTTTTGCAACATGTTTGAATCTTATGGGTGAATGTTGGTGTGTGTGGTCTTGGGATAGATCATGTTTCATAAATGAATGAATCCATATAGAGAAGATCAAACTTAGGAAGAGCTGAAAAGTATTAAGGCTTTTCATTCCATCTCCCTGCTAGGGGTGCTGCTTGTTTTCCTACTGGTACCATACTGGAATAGGTGACGTCACCTCAGACTTCCCGCTAGACTGAGCGGGACCTGTTGGTTTGCGTCTTCCTCAGATAACGGGTGATGGGGTATTTCGCTTAACTTACTGCTAGGACACCACATAAATGTCTGAGTAATAGAAACTGGAGAATTTTTTTTTTTTTTTTTTTTTTTTTTTTTGTCTTTTTATCGGTACCGGGGATCAAACTCACGACTGCCTGCTTGCAAGGCAGGCACTTATGCCACTGAGCTAAACCCCCAGCCCCGAAACTGGAGAATTTACGTTTATTATATACTGTGTTCAATTGTATCAACAAAATCTCAAAGTAAGGTTTAAGATAACTTACGGTATGAGGAATCGAGTTTACATTTTATTTATAGGTGGTAAGAGTTGGATGTGATGTCCTTGAAGAAGAATATACTATAAGGGTATAAAAAGTAGTTTTGAGCTGGAGACTTAGCTCAGTGGAAAAGCATGTGATCACATGAACAGGACTGTGGGTTCAGTCTCTCGCATCATCACCAAAAACTGGCTGTGATGGAGTTTTGCCGGTTCTGCGTGAGAAATGGGGAGAGCTGGGGAAGGACACTGACTGGTAGCAGCTTGACAGCTGTCAGGTTCAAAGCAAGGAAGTCAGTGAGCAGGGGAGCTCACAGTGGGGAGAGGAAGCCGCGACATCCCAGATTAATAGAGAAGTGAGGAAAGGGTAGGATCACAGGGTAGTAGACTGGGTGGGATGGAGACGAATGGTTCAAACAATGAGTGGAAGTCAGAGACAAAGTTAATGGTATAGCACCTGCCTGGCATGCCCGGTCCCATCCCCAGTGCTACACAATGATAATAACAATGTCTGAGCAACAGACTTGCTGGCCATCTGGGATACACCTCGCCTCTCCCGCTCCCTGTCACCACAGGAGAAGCTGCAGAAGTGCCTGGAGCCACTTGAGCAGAAGCTGCAGGAAGTCACCCGCTGCAAGTCCTCTGAGGAGAAGAAGCCCGCGGAGCTCAAGGTAAAGCCAGGGCCCTGTTCGGGCTGCTCTGTGGCGTGTGTGCCTGTGAGGGAATTAGCCACACTGTGTTCTGTCCACCAATTTAAGGAATCCGGTTCTGGTTTTTAGAAAATAGTGGTCTTTAAAGTGAGAGCATTTTATTAGGCTTGGTTGTTAGTAAATACTGTACCAAATTACTTGTCATGAATTAAGTATTGAGAATAAGGACATAAGAGCTGAAGGACACATAAAATACTTTATCTCTGGTAAGTTGAGAGAGATCTTGCTCCTCGGTCTCTGCTAGAATGCAAAGATAGGCCAGGGATAGTGCAGGACTGTAATCTTGGTACTCCAGAGGCTGAGACAGGAGGATTGCTGCAAGTTCAAGGCCAGCCTGAGCTGCATATCAAAGACTGTATCACAAAAACAAAAGAGCAGGGTTAGGAGTTTCTCAGGTTAAAGAGAGGAGAATTATCTAGAAAGTTCACAAGGAAGAGCAAGGTTGGGGACTCACCAAGAGCTTCAAGAACTGCCTAGTCATGTGGGGCCACATTCTTATCACTCATATAAGTAAGGTTATGTTCCTTCATTCCTGGAGTGTTCTTCCCATTCCTGTCTCTACCTATACATCTATCTTTCACCTGGGCTCAGTCCTGGGATAAAAATTCGTTATGCAACATATCCTGGTCCTTTAGAAATTAACTTTCAGGCTGGGGATGTAGCTTAGTGGCACAAGCATCTTCCTAGCTAGCACAAGGTCCTGAGTTCGATTCTTAGTAACAAAAAAAAAAAAAAATAGAAATGAACTTTCTTAAATTTGATATATTTTTATCTGTTTCATAGCATTACCTTATTTGGCGGGGATTTAGCTCAGAAGCATAAGTACCTCCCTGGCAAGCATGAGGTTGTGAGTTCAGTCCCCTATAGCAAAAAACAAAACAAAACAAAACAAAAAAAAAAAGCATTACCTTATTTGTAGCTTGGTATTTGGGTATCTAAATTATTTTTTCTGGGGCTGGGGATTTAGCTCAGCGGCATAAGCGTCTGCCTTGTAAGCGCGCAGTTGTGAGTTCGATCCCTGGTACTAATAAAAAAAAAAAAGTAGAAATACTAATATTTTAAACAATAAATGGCAGTATTTCAACAGAAAGCAAGTGCAGTGTTATCATTTTAGTGCTTTTTTTTTTTTTAACCAAGGCAAATGTTTGAATTTTTTAAAATGTGAACTAACTTTCAGCATAAAGATAAACTTTTTTAAACAAAAGTTCTTTATCCTTTTGGAGGACACTTGAGAAACTTAAAATGTGTACAATGGAGCTTATTCCCAGCCACTGATTTTCCTTTTTCTATTCATCACTTCCTTGAAGGTAAAGTATAGAAGGGAAGCTGGGCATAGTGGCACAAACCTGTAATCCCAGCATTCAGGAGGCTGAGGCAGGAGGATCATTGTGAGTTTGAGGCCAGCCAGAACTACACAGCAAGACTATGTCTTAAAACAGCAATAGTCTGGCATGGTGGCACACACCTGTCATCCCAGCATTCCAGAGGCTGAGGCAGGAGGAGTGCTACGAGTTTGAGGCCCACCTGGGCTACAAAGTGAGTTCAAGGCCAGCCTGAACTGCATAGAGACCCTGTCTCAAAAAGACAAAAAAAAGAAAAAGAAAAAAAAAGAAATGAGGGTTTATGGAAGCTCTGCTTTTTATTTTAAGTTACCATTGCAGTGGTCTCAGAAACATTCCTTTCGTAACCATTTGAATTCTTCCTCCTCCCGGCTGTCATCCCTACTACCAGAATCAGATGGAGAGCCCCTTTAAAACAGCGTGCAGGTGCTGGGCTGCAGGTGCTGGGCTGCAGGAGCTAGATGTGCAGCTCAGTAGCAGAGCATTTTCCTAGTCCAACCATGCAGCCCAGCACAGAAAAGTACAAAAACTGTAATTAACTATGCCAAAGTGAAAATTACAGATACCTAACCTACGTGACTGTAAAGAGATTAGCATGACCACCGCATATTACCATAGAAGAAATTTATATTAAAATCTAGAATATAAGTACTGGGCCATGACTACCCTGAAAGTGTAGTTATAGGGTTATCCCTGTCTACATGGACATAATCCATGGTGCTGTCGGATTTGGGCTGAGGATCAGATGAAGGCAACTCACCGCTTGGTATCATGATTTAAGAGAATACAGCCTTAGCTGGGCATAGTGCCTCGTGCTTGTATCCACTACTAGGAAGACTGAGGCAGGAGGTTAGCAAATTTGAGTACAATCTGAGCAACTTAGACCCTATCTCAAAATATTAAAACAATTAAAAAGCTCTGTGGCTGCAGCTCATGGCAAAAGCTTGGGTTCAATCCCCAGTCTGCCCCTCCCCACCAAAAAAGGTGTTGGAGGTTTAAGACTATGGGCAGCATAGACAAAATGTATTTCAAATTTCAAACAACTAATTGATTAACAGAATCTGTTCCTGAAATGGGAACTGCCAATTTTTTGAAGTGACCTGAAATTGTTTAACAGATTTGGCCCTGACATCAACATCTATACCTTGTAACCACCCATTACAAGCTTATTGATTCTGATAATATTCCAGTTCTGGTTTTTACCAGTTTCTAGTCTGATACAAATATCGACAGTCTTATCGTTACCTTTCCAGTATTAACAGATTGTGTAAGCTCAACTTCGGATTTGGGAATAGCAGAGATATCTCCATAACCGTAGCTGTCACGTTGATGAGTTCTGTATCTTCCGTATATTGTATTAAAACATAAAAGGAAAACACTTTGAGAATTTACTGAAGCAAAAATGTCTTTTAAAAGACTGATGTTTCACTGCCTCCGCCAGGCTGTCCTGGGGCGTGGGGAAGGCATCCGGTGAGAGAAGGGTGCTCCCCAGAGCTCTGCGCAGCCTTGCACTGGGCCCAGCTGACCCCAGCACTCTCTCCCCAGAGACTGGTGGAGAGTCGCCGGCAGCAGATCTTGAAGGAGTTCGAAGAGCTTCACAGACGGCTGGATGAGGAGCAGCAGGTTTTGCTTTCGCGGCTGGAGGAGGAGGAACAGGACATCCTGCAGCGCCTTCGAGAGAATGCCGCCCTGCTTGGGGACAAGCGCCGGGACCTGGCCCACCTGGCTGCTGAGGTGGAGGGCAAGTGCTTGCAGTCAGGCTTCGAGATGCTTAAGGTTCGCCCCGGGTCACGCGTGCGTGGTGTAGCTTTGCCCAGGGCGCCCGCTTGCTCTGCTTCCCAGAGCACGGTGCAGACAGTGGATGCAGAGAATCTTCTCTTGCACAGAAAGGTTTCTCTGGTTTCTCCCATAACGTTCTAATCATTTCGTGGTTACTGTGTCTGTCAGCGATTGTGTCTTTCCAAAGGAATTTGCACCTGAAGGAGAATGGGCTCCTTTGAGACATGTCTGATCTGCCTACTGCACACTGCACTCTGAATGTGTAAAGGCAGCTACCACTGCTTCCCAGTCCTAGGACCTGCGCTGTCTGGTGCTTACACAGAGCCTCTAGGGACACCTGGCCTTCTGTGTTGATCATCCTGTTTTGGTTGTGTCAGTGATGCCTCTAGGACATTCCTCCTGAGCAGATGCCTGGTGTAGGGGCGGGTGGCAGGGTGCAGTCCCTTAGCTTAGAGACCAGCTTTGCGGTCAGCGGGTCAGCGAGTCAGCAAGAGACGGCTTGGGGTGTTTACTCCTTTGTCCTTTCATTACTTGTGTTCCGCTTTCTACATTAAACTGGGAAATCCACAGGGGGCGGAGATTCGTCTTTGTCTTCTGAACCCCACGTATCCTCAAGTCAGGACTGGCACACCACGTTCACTAATGTTTACTAACCAGTGCCAGAGGGGCCACCGAAGTGTGGCTCGTTCCTCTCCTGCCGCTCTGGAATGATCTGTGCCATCCTTGAGGAAACTGAGTGTGAGGTTGACACTAGGGGACAGAGTGAAGAGCAGACACAACTCCTGTCCTTTGCAGGAAGCGTAGACAGATACACAAGAAACCACTGGGACAAGATATAAATGACAAAGCTTCCTGAGGACCAGCAGTGGAAAGTGAGCATAGGTCAGAAGAAACACACTGAGCTCCCTCCAGAGCTCTCACCCTGCTTTGTGACTTTCCGTCTGCCCTGCGCCCATGTTATAGAACTAGAACTTTGGGGAGGAAGGGGAACGTTTGTCTTCAGGACCCTTGAATACCAGGACCAATCTTCTTTTTTTTCTCATTCCCTCTAGGACGTCAAAAGTACCCTGGAAAAGTAAGTAATTCTTATATCTTTGGAGTGAGTTAGGCCATGGGTTAGAGACTAGGGAATCCAGCCCCGAGTTGGGGGAGTAAGGATGGGAAAGTCAGGCAGAGTATAGGAAAGGGCCCTGTCACCCACGAGGCCAGGCAGACAGCAGATCATTAGAGTAACCTTTCCCGATCCTGTCCCGTGGCTGGCGAGGGAATGATGAGACAGAACCAGTCTGTTTCTATTCTAACAGGATAGCAAGAGACAGGGGTCCAGAGAGGGAGGGGGCGATCCTTGTGCGGAAAGGATAAGAAGGACCCTGGAAAGTCGTGAGGCTCATTTCCAAGATAAAGGTCCCGTCCTGGGGGTGGAGGTAGTTGTCTTCTGGAGGAAGTGGGAAGTGGAAGGTTTTGGTTTTGCCCTAAAGATACTCGCTGGGCTGGACCGCCCCTCACCCCACCCTTTCTTCCCCACCTCCTCTCCCTCCTAGATGTGAGAAAGTGAAGACCATGGAGGTGAGCACAGTGTCCATAGAGCTGGAAAAGAACTTCAGCAGTTTCCCCCGACAGTACTTTGCCCTAAGGAAAATTCTTAAACAGCTAATTGGTGAGTTGTTCCCAGAAGAAAACTAGAAAAGCAAATCACTGAGAAGAAAACCCTTAGCCTCCTCCCTACAGGTGCTCATGCCCACCGCTGCCCCTGCCTGGCTTTAGTCTCACCCTGGGCCCCAGGGCCCTCAGATGTCACCTGCTCTTAGGTCAGCACTTCTTAACTAAGCACACAGAGGGGGCATAATGTACCCGAGTCACCTGGGGTGTGACCGCCTCATTTTCCATGCCAGCTGGGACGCCTGGAGAGTGGGAGGGAGTCTAGCCTGACATTCATGAAGGGAAAGGAGTCCTAACCCAGGGCGATTCCAAGGGGACCGGCGCCTGTCCCCAGCCCAGACTGCTAATTCGCTCTGGACCTTCCTCCTCCCCACTCTTTGCAGCCCTCAGACTGCCTTACTCGCCAGGCAGTGAGATGAGTGATGGGTCACTGGGGAGAAGGTGACCCGGAGCCAGGACCCCCAGCCCTGCAGAGTCCCGAGAGCACTGTGCAGTGTAGGGTCAGTGGGACATAAAGCCTACGTTCCCTCCCTTAACCACCCACCCGGTGTTCTGGGACCTCACGGGAACCAGGCTCTGCCAGGCAGGCTGGAGAGGTGAGGCAGGGGCTTTAGCTGTTCCCATCCTCATCTAGCTCCCCACTCTGGCTTCTCCCGCCAGCGGATGTGACCCTGGACCCGGAGACCGCGCACCCCAACCTCGTCCTGTCCGAGGATCGTAAGAGCGTCAAGTTTGTGGAGACCAGACTCCGAGACCTCCCCGACACGCCCCGGAGATTCACCTTCTACCCTTGCGTCCTGGCTACTGAAGGCTTCACCTCCGGCCGGCACTACTGGGAGGTAGAAGTGGGCGACAAGACCCACTGGGCGGTGGGCGTGTGCCGGGACTCCGTGAGCCGCAAAGGCGAACTGACGCCACTTCCTGAGACTGGCTACTGGCGGGTGCGGCTGTGGAACGGGGACAAGTACGCGGCCACCACAACGCCGTTCACCCCTTTGCACATCAAGGTGAAACCCAAGCGGGTGGGCATATTTCTAGACTACGAGGCTGGCACACTGTCTTTTTATAACGTCACAGACCGCTCCCATATCTACACGTTCACGGATACGTTTACTGAGAAGCTGTGGCCTCTCTTCTACCCGGGCATCAGGGCTGGTCGGAAGAACGCTGCGCCGCTGACCATCAGGCCTCCCACAGACTGGGAGTGACGGGTGGGATGTGGGGCCGAGTGGGTAAGGCAGGGTCCAGAGCTGTGGGCTGTCGCGGGCTCCAGTGCTGGGTCATCTTGAAGCAACACTGTCTCTAGGATGCTTTCCGGGGAGAAGGTTGTGGCCTGGGCTGCATGACAGAGCACGGCCGAGTCTCTCTCCTCGCTGTCAGGTGGGGAGCTCGTCCCCAGCAGGTGACGGCCACAGTCCATCAGGTTTTCTAATTGCACAGGACAGGTAGGGGTATAAGTAGAGGCCTGTCCAGAAACAAAGGCCGTGGCGGGTCTCATTGTGCTGAAGCCAGAGGCTTCCTAGACACAGGGTGATCTTGTCTCTTGAGGGAAACAACAGGGATGTTTGCGCCCCAAGATAGGAAAGGATGAATGACAGTTGCTGTCCTCAGTCTACAAGTTGAGTTTTCTGGGGACAGAGTCCGTGCATTAGACAGGTTAGGAGAAGATCGGAGAAGTGAGCTAAAGGAACAGACTCCTAGAAACTAACGAAGGGAGGGAGGTTTAGTCTTCTGTTCCCAGGGTAAGGTTGCCATAATGAGTAGGATTGACCAGAGATAATGTGGGGAGAAGGACAGGGCAGAAGAAAGAAGCCAGGCCTCAGCCTTCAGCAGAGCTGGCTCATTCTCTTGCTCCTCACAGTTGTCTCCAAGGGAGCGGTCACCTTGCTCCTCTCAGAGATGAGTGAGACCCTGCAAGGCACACCCACTACCCAGTATGAGTCAGGAATTAGAGGATAGGAAAGGTTATCTACCGGAAGCTCCGGCCTAAAAACTTGTTACCCAGCTGCTGCTCCTAAACTGTCAGCTTTGCCACCTGGCTCGGGTGTGCACCGCAAAGGGAAGAAAGTGGAGCCTTACCCTGAGGACAGGGTAGAAGAGGGTGTGCGTGTCGGAAGGGCCAGACGGCAACTTCTTTCACCTGTGCATCTCACCCACAGCTGATGTTCATAACAGCCTTCTACCTGAGTGGCCACCTTTCACCCTTCGTCATCGCCTTTCAGAGAATGTGTGTCATTCTAATGTCAGGCCAAATCAGGCCTGTAAGGTACATTCATATGTGGTCAAGGTTAAGCGATGCATGCAAACCAAACTAAAACTAGCTGGATTGTCTGCTGCTTGAGTAAGTAAGCTTCACAGAAGACAAGAAACTGCAGTGAACAGCCGGCATTTCGGTTCCTCCCACCACCTCAGCAGGACTGTCCTCTCCTCTTCTAACCTTTGTGCCTTGACTGTGGTTCTTTGTGGCAGGAGACTTCGGCCGGTAAAAGTAATATGGAGCAAAGGATCCACTGACGTGACCTCGGTGTCGTGTGGTGATTTGTGATGATCGTCCTTAGGTCGATGTGCAGAATCACTGAGTGCGAAAAATCCATGTTCCCAGGGTCTCACCTCTACTTGATTCAGGTCTTGGTGGGCCTGCAAAAAATGTTTTTAAACACTCTCCTGGCTGAGTGTGAGGACCTTCGTGCAGCTTAACCCAGAGGCTGTATCTGCTCATTCCTCAGAGCTTAAAGCCTGGTTCTCTGCCTAGCCTGGCAGGGGTCTGGAGGGGGGTCACTCCCTGGTCCGGATTTAGGCTGCCCTCCCCGTCTCAAGGTTTAGTCTTATTTTGCCCTCTGCTTCTGACCTCTTGTCATTAGCAGAGTTAGACAAACTGCCAGACAGAAGAAAGAGGAGAGGAGAGGTCAGGGGAGAGACGCGTGGACGTCGTGGAGTGGGCAGTAGCCAGGAGCAGGGCTTACAGTTGACAGGGTTCTGTCTGTACCTAGGATTAGGAGTGGGAGACCATTCACTTAGCAAGGTGAAGCATGGCCTGCTGGGTGTTTAGCACTAAGGGCCAGCGGTGTGTGTGTCTGATAAGCGGAAAGGTGGGCGTGAACACTGCTGAGCTCAATTAGCCACCTACCTCTGCCACCCTAAAGCCCTTCCCCCTCACCCATGGGCAGCAGTCTTTTCCGCTTTCTTTTATTGCATACTGACTGTTATTTCGGTCTGTAGCTCCTGGCCATCTGCCTTTGGCCTTAGGAGAGGAGCCAGAAGGTCTGCCTGAATGTAAATTGGGATCCGCTGCCTCCCCAACTTACCTGCTTTTTTTCCTGAGAATGCTTAGCCGTTTTAAGATCCATTTCTCTACTAGCCTCTCCAGTCTTTACATAGTTTGTATGATTATGGATTTAAGGACAAAAGGAAGGAATTCAAAACTCATACACATGCCGAGGGGCGGGGTTTGCAAACAGTCGTAGGTGAGGCCACGGGCCCAGGCACTACACTTCCCAGGAAGCCCTGTGCGGGGGCGGGGTTTGCAAGCCAGTGGGCCGGTGAGGCCGCGGGCTCAGACCTTACATTTTCCTTGAAGCTTTACGCTGCGGCGGGGCTTATAAGCAGACGTGCCAGCGAGCCTCCCCTTGGAGGGCAGGCTTTACAAACGAAAGTCGGCGAGGTTTCGGACCCAGATACTACACTTCCCAGGAGGCCTTGCGCGGGCCGGGGCGTGGCCTTGTAGACGGGCGGCGTCCATGGCGGGCCCGGTGAAGGACCGCGAGGCGTTCCAGAGGCTCAGCTTCCTCTACCAGGTGAGCGCTCGGGGTCGCTTGGGGAAGGGAGCCGGGGCTGCCGGCCCGAGTGACCACTGCCCGCCTGCAGGCCGCGCACTGCGTCCTCGCCCAGGACCCTGAGAACCAGGCGCTGGCGAGGTTTTACTGCCACACCGAGAGGACCATAGCGAAGCGACTCGTGCTGCGACAGTGAGGCGGCGGGCGCGGGCGGCGGGCGGCGGGCGGCGGGCGGCGGGCTGGGAGCGGGTGTGGGCGCTCCGCTACCTCCGCTCCTCCGCCCCCAGGGACCCCTCGGTGAAGAGGACGCTGTGTCGCGGCTGCTCGTCCCTCCTCATCCCGGGCCTCACCTGCACCCAGCGCCAGAGACGTAGGTGCCCGGCGGCGCCCCAAGGCGGGTGCAGGCGGCCTTGGCTTCGGGGCGCCTTCACCCACCCCCGGGCTGGCAGGCTGGGATGTGGCCTTGGCTTTTGTTCCCTACCTGGGCGGTGGGAAAAGCACATCACTATGAGAAACAACCTCGTCCCTGCATAATAGATACCGTGTGGTGTCGCGCAGGGCGTGATCGCCAAGGCTGAGTCAGTCACCCACGCAAGAAGTATATTCTAACGCGTGTCAAGAGCCAGATTCATCATTCTTTCTGTGAAATTACAGCCAATGAGACAGACTGAGAAAAAAATAATTACAACGGTGGAGAAAAAAGGTTTAATCGAAGTGGGACGCTGAGTTTCCTGTGGGGAGAGGTTCATGATAAAGGAATGCGCAGAGGATTCTGTGCTGAAAAGCAGAGGGAACAAAGCCTGGTACTGAAGACCTTTTCCTCCCATAAGCCTGAGCAATCTCTTCCTTTTTACGACTTTATCACAGGCCGCAGGGGACAGCGCTGGACAGTTCAGACCTGCCTGACGTGCCAGCGCAGCCAGCGGTTTCTCAATGATCCCAAGCATACACTCTGGGGGGACCGGCCTGAGGCCCAGCTGGGGAACCAAGCAGGTGAGGATGAAGGCTAAGCCAGAGGGCTGGGATGATGGGGCGCAGAGCTGAACGGGATGCAGCGGCAGGTTCTGCTCAATGCCAGGGGTGCCACAGTCTTAGGAAACTAATTCTACTCCTCTAACCAGACTCCAAACCACAGCCGCTGCCGAACACAGCCCACCCCATTGCAGCCCACCTTCCTAGGGAGAAAGTGCAGCCTCAGGCTCCAGTTACCGGCCAGGAATGTAACTCGTCTTCCAGATGAATAAACTTTAACTGTTGCACTTTGCTTGCTGTTGTTCTGTGGGCGTTTTCACTCTTAATTCCATTTTGCTCTGCTTCTGTGTCACTGTGTAACATCTCATTTTTCCGTACCACCGCCTACTCTACAGGAAGACCCCAAATTCTGTAGTGAGATCAGGAAGTCCCAAGGCCATGGCTCCAGTGCCCTGGTCACTGCAGCTTCCTCAGTGTGACCCAGTGTTTGGGACTTGAGCTCCACAGTGTCCTGTAAGGTTCTTGAGCCTCCTTGGGCATCACATGTTTGGGTAGCTCTGGCTGTTGGCCAAAGGGCTGGGCAGAATTTGGATCCTGCTGCTGCTATGTTTATAAAAGGGGAGAGTGGGGAGGTGTGAGGATTCCTATCCTCTAGCAGATGCAATGAAGCAAGAAAAAAATTGAAAGCCAGATTGGAAAGGAATGAATAAAGTGGGGTTTTTTTGTTTGTTTGTTTGTTTGTTTTTTTGTCTTTTTCCTTTTTATCGGTACCAGGGATCGAACTCACGACTGCCTGCTTGCAAGGCAGGTGCTTATGCCGCTGAGCTAAATCCCCAGCCCAAAGTTGTTTTTATTTAAGGAAGTTATAGTCCGTGTGGATAATTTTATGACATGTATTTTTAAAAGCTTTTATAACCATTCAGTGAATTGAGTAAAAATGCAGGATACAAAAGAAATATACAAAAGTCAATTGTATTTTAGATACTAAAATTGTTATTTCTATGTACAATAGGAAATTTAAATTAAAATCAGTGCTATTTACAAAAGTAGCCAGATACAAAATATTTTGGGATGAGTCTTACAAAACAACGATAGCGTTAAAAACAGGAAAGTATTTCTCTAAATCCCAAGTACAGCGATATCTTGGTTGACAGACAGCTCCAAGCTTGAACGTTCCACCACTCTAACAGCAAAGTTTGAAAAATCTACTCAACGTTCATAACTGCATGATAGTTGAACTGAGAATCCGACTTGAAAAGCCTCGTCAGTGTCTGGCCGACAGTGACCTGTGTCTTGGCTCACTGCAGACACCGTGAGGCACTAGTGTGGGCCTCCCTCAGTCCTCGCCCAGACGTCGAGGCGTGCTTGTGTCAGTGTGCTCAGTCATCACACTGCTGATTTTGTTTTGATTTTGGTTTTTTTGCACATTAACATAAAATATCATAACCATGGTTCCAAAGAAAGTGATACCAGCAGTCAGGCTAAGAGGAAAACTGAGAATCACCATAGTTAAAGAAATCCTTGTTAAATTCTCTGAAGTCCTGGAAGAGTGAATTTATAAGTGTAATTTATGGGCTTCAGAACCAATGATTTGGTTTTCCATTATTTTGGGGAAAATATGTTCGGTTCTTGAACTTTTCAGCATTTAAACATGAAGGGAATGAATTGAGTTTGACACGTATGATTGTAAATGGAGAGAGATGTCGTGCTCGTGAATTGGAAGATGAAATATTAAGGTTATTGCTTGCCTGATGCAGAGCCAGTGCAATGCCAGTAAAAGTCCTAACTTTCAGGGTGATTCCGAAAGTCAGACACGTATAGCCAAAACAATTACAGGACTTGAGAGACTTGAATTCAGGACCTATGAAGGTGATAGCAGACAGTGTGGTTGTAGAACAAATCTACATAGAGCGATTGAGTAGAGTCCAGAAATCCGCACAGTATGGATAACTCATTTTTGGCAAAGCTAATTAATAAAGGCGTCTTCAATAAATGGTGGGGAAATGATTGGAAATGAGCTTCAGTCCAGCTGTTCCTCCCCGAACCCCTGGGTCCTGGCCTTTCTTCACCCTGCCCCATCTGCCCTGCCCTGGGAATTGAGGGGTCTCTGCGCCTCCTCCCCAGGCTCCCACTGCCAGTGCTTCAGGCTGCAGTCCCAGCAGGGTCCACTAGGTGGACACAGCGTGCGCCAGAGGCCGCGTCCAGTGCCCCGCACCAGGAGAGCCCAAAGCCAGGCAATCCTGGCCAGAAGGTGACACCACCGTATGCCTCACACACCGTAAAACGCAGGATTCCGGTTCTGTTTTCTTCCAAGGTTTGCTGTCAGGCCGAACCGTCGCTAAGTGCTTCAGGCCCTTGCAGCATCTCTAGGGGGAGAGGGGGCCGTCGTGGCAGGCCCGGACTGGGACTGACAGGTGCCCTTGAGGCCACAGTCAGGGCGCCACGAAGCAGGGCTGAGCTCCTGAGCCACAGCTGCAGCCATGCGCCGCCCTGCAGAAGGGTCTCTGGGGTCCACCGGCCCCCAGCAGTTCTTATTGGCCACTGCCTGGGAGTCAAGAGGTGCAGGGACGATCTTGTCTCAAACCCGACCTCTGGCCCCACCCAGGCGGCCTTGAGGAGCCTGACTGGGTCAGGCCCCAAGCCTGCTTTGCTCTTCCCAGACGCAGAGCTCCGCAGCCTGGGCCAGCTTCCTTGTCCCAGCCCCTGAACAGGACCAGTAGACTGTAGCAGGTCTCCCTGCATCCAGGCTGGTGGGTAGGTTTTGTGGGCCTTTCAACCAGACCAACATGCTCAGTTCACTTGCGTCACATGACTCCTGCACAAATGCTGCGTGGGAGAAGACCACCCCCTGCCTCAAATTGTCTCTGACCGTTTCCCTCAGACCTCCTAAACACACACACACACACACACACACACACACACACACACACACGTGGCTGGTATGATGGTACGCACCTGTAATCCTAGCACTCACAAGGCTGAGGCAGGAGGATCGCTGTGAGTTTGAGGCCAGCCTGAGCTATATAGTGAGATTCTGCCTCAAGAAAAAACACCAAAATTTAAAAAATACATGAACAATGATACCATCTCCAGTGAGGTCACCCTGAGGTGCTGGGCCCTGGGCTTCTACCCTCAGGAGATCTCCCTGATCTGTCAACTAGATGGGCAGGAGCTGACCCAAGACATGGAGCTGGTGGACACCAGGACTGCAGGGCATGGAACCTTCCAGAAGTGGGTGACTGTGGTGGTGCCTTCAAGAGAAGAGCAGAATTACACTGCTGTGTGGAACATGAGGAGCTGCAGAGCCCCGCACCCTGAGATGGGGTAAGGGGTGTGGGGGCACAGGGCCCCCTGCCAAGGAATAGGGGAGCTGTCCTGAGACCCTCAGCAGGTCAAGGGTAAGAGCTCGGGGTCAGGACCCCTCCGTTTCCCTTCCCAGAGCCGCCCCCGAGCCCACTGTCCCCAGCATGAGCATCCTCCTGGGTGGTTCTCCCTGTCCTCTCTGGCCACTGTAATGTTCTGGGGGAACAAGAAGAATGCAGTGTGGCCCTGAAAACCCCCTGAAACTTCCTCACCTTAACGCCTGCCATGTCTGTTTTCCCCTCTAAATGGCTGGACAGACAGTGGCCCTGCTCACGCCCACCTCTCACTTGTGTGGGAAGAAGGCCTGGGAAGTTCCCTTCTTGCCCTTTGCTCTTTGATTGATTTGTATGATGTTTTAATTCTGCCACTTATTTCCAGGAAATAGTTTATATTTCAGGTTACTTTCCTTAAATTTTTGTAGCTGTGTTGGGTGACTTGCAGAATGAAGATATTAAAATCTGGAAGACCCATGAGCCTTTTAGAACCCAGTGTTTGCTGTGTGCAATCAGCTGGGGCAGGGGGAGATGGGGGAGCACAGTTCAGAAGGTTCCAATGCAGTTGGTCCTGGAATCATTGTTAGCTTTGGTTCTGTCACCGCCCAGCTGTGTTGTCTCTGCAGCTTCCTGGTCCCTGAGCCTGAGGCAAGGCCTTGTCACACCAGGACCCATAGTGATTGCAAGACAACTCAGGCCTGACCCAGGCTGGGCACTGTCTCCAGAACCACAGCGGGAGGGTGTGGACAGAAGTGGACAGTCTCGGATCGGACCCAGATCATGCCTAGGACCATTCACCAGGCAGCACTTTCCAGCTTCCCCTCTGTATTAGACAAAGTCAAGTTTGGCCAACAGCAAAATGACAGTGTTGTAGCCAGCATTTTGCAAGGGACAAGAATTAATACAGGACATTATGTATAGAATCATTTTATAGTAGTCACCCAGAGCGTCAAATGCAAAAAGAGTGTGGGAGACCTGTCCACACACTAGAAACCCAAAAACTCCAGCCAAGGGTCAGGATCCCACAGCAGTGTCCTGCACAAGTCCAGCTGAAGACCTGGAGCAGTGCTCCCTACAAGTCCAGCTGGAGGCCCAGAGCCCATGACAATGATTTGTGCAATCTGCTTCACAGGTCTGTGCTAGGAAGGTGCAAAGGTCAGTGGTGGGAGCTAGAAAGTCTGTACCAGTGAGATGAAAGGTCTGTGTTAGTAGGTTGAGGGTTCTGCACTGGAAACAGGAAGTGATGCTCAAAGTAAGGACCAGCACTCCCACAGAGTGACCCACAGTCATCCTCAGGGACAGCGAGGACCCAAGCTCCTCCAGTGATAACAGCAGAGTTCATACCAGGGAAACCAGAGTGACACGGTTCTCCAGTACCCCATCTGCCCTCCAGGTCTCCTTCCATGCTTGGCAACAGTCCTCAGGCATCCACACCCAGCACTTGCTGGTTCAGTTCAGCTGGGTGTTACAAGCTGACCACCAGTTGTCAGTGTGCTGCAGACAGGGTCCAGTGTCTTGTGGATGTGATACTGCATTGCATGCTGTGCCATGCTTTGCTTTCTCTGACACTAACTGATGTTCGTGTGGACCGTGTGCAACATTTCGCCACTAGGAGCAATACTGTGATGGATAACCCTGGTTCTAGGCCCAGTTCCTTCACTGACTACCTTTGCAGTGAGAACCATTTGAGCTCTTCAACAGTGTTTTGAAGTCCTATCTGTAAACTATAAATGACTAGTTCAAAGCTTCAGTAGGTTGCACTTAGAAGACATTTATTTTTCCATTTTCTTATCATCACCTAGTGTCTTGGCCACTTTCTCATCACTGAGACACAATCACCAACATCGAAACCTAAAGGAGGGAAGGTTTATCTTGGATCACAGTTTGGAGAAGTTTCAGTCCATAGTTAGCAGGCTCCAGTACCGGATAGCATGGCACAGACAAGGGGCAGGGCAGAGGACAGCTGCTCGTGGCATGGTGCCCAGGATGCAGAGGGCATCAAGGGAGCAGCTGAGAGGGAGATGAACCCTTCCGGGCCACATTCTCCGTAGCCCACCTTGCCAACAAGACCCCACCTCCTGGTATCAAGCCAGCAGCACCAGCCCCGCACTCCAATCCAGAGGTCCTGGCCACGATTACATGAGGCTTTAGGAAGGCAGCTAGACATAAACCCCAGCACCTGCTTTGCTCTAACTACACGCTGCTGTTATATCCGAGTGTGTTTATTTCCATCACCATAATAAATACCTGAGAAAATCGACCTATAAAGGTGCAAGGTGTATTTTGGTTCACAGTTTTGGACATCCCAGTCCGTGGCTGGATGCTCTGTCACTGTGGGGACAGGAAGGCAGCTCATCACTGCAGGAATCCATGGCAGAGCAAACCAAAATATCACTTAAAAACTTTCGAGGCCACATAATCATCTCAACTGATACAGAAAAACAATTGTCAAAATTCAATGCCCTTTCATGATGTTTTTAAAAAGCTAAGAAAAAAAAAGAATAAAACATTTCCATAAAATAAAAACCGTGAGAAGTTCACAGCTGACATCGTTCTCCTCTGTGGGAGACTGGACACTCCTCCCACAGCAGGGGAGAGACAGGCGCCACCCTGGGAGTGTGCTGAAATGCTACAGCGCAGGCGAGCAGCAGAAATGAAAGCATGGGGAAGGGGAAGGAGGAAGTCAAGTCATCTCGGCAGATACAGGATGAGTACGTAAATAGGAAACCCGAAAGATCCCAGATCCAGAAACTATTACAGGTACAAATCAGCTGCATTTGTACGTAGGTCCTCACAGTGTGAAATTTTCTGTAGTCCTAGGAAGATGAAAGCCACTAAAAGAATCTGAAAAGTCCCATGTATGAACCCTGTGTGAACCATGATGTGTGTTAGGTTAGTGCAATACACTTTCCCATAAAGGGTGCTTCTGCCCCAGCCTGAGGATGGAGAAAAGTTCCTCAGTTATTTGAAAAATTTGGCAGTTATAATAGATGCTTTTTTTAAATACTTTGTCTCGTGAGAGAACCAGAAGCAAAGTTTTGATTCCATTTTCAGGGAAATAAGGCCACCAGCGTTTTAAATTCTAGCAAAGTTTGCACAAGGTGTGAGGGCCTGGAAATCGGGGATTGTTGCCTTGGTTCCTTCCTTGTGTTGTCTTTAGTTACATGATGTCTGATTGGGGGCTCCATTGTTTTGTGAGTCTGCAGGAAGCAGAGCCCCAGTGCACCCAGTCTTGAATACAAATCCATTAAAAGCAATCAGCATATTACAATGATAGCTAAAAAACTTTAACTGGAAAATACATCCTAAAAAGCACATTAAAGAACACTGCCCCGCACACTATAGGATATAAATAAACTGCTTCTCCATCATAAGTTTACTGACAAATCCCCACCAGCAGTGGGCTGGCCATCGGCTCCGGTCACATAGTAATCCCCAGACACTGGAAGCTGCTGACTCACAAGGTTCTGCAGATGTGATCAGTCAAGGCCGCCGAGGTGGGAGGCTGACTCGGGGATGGTCCCAGCGCAGTCACAGAGCTGCTTACAAAGAGCGCAGGAGGCAGAGGAGGAGTCCTGAGACACAGGGAGAGGGAAGCGGTGGAGGACAGGGTTAGAACCAGAGAACAGGAGCAGCTGGCGAGGGATGAAGGAAGACCTAGCTCTGGGCGGCACCTCCAGAAGGAGCCAGCTCGGCATTTGACATCAGCCCACTGCAGCTCGTGTTCGGCTTCTGGCCTCAAAGCCTGTGAGAAAGCCAGTTCACTTTGTTTTAATCCACTGCCTCTGCAGGGAACTAATGTCTGGGCAGGCTGAAAGGCCACCTCACCGAGTCAGACCCAGGCCCTCAGTGTTACTTTGTGAACTTAGGTGGCAAATGGTGTGACCGAGCGGAGGACTTTGAGAAGTGCTGGCCTGGGTTATCTGATGGACGGCGATCAGAGATGTCCTCAGAAGGGGGAGGCAGGGGCCGGGGTGCGGGCCTGTGATCACGGCACTCTGAAAGGCCATGGCAGGAGACTGCAAGTCTGAGCCCTGCCTGGGAAATTTCCTGACTTAGCAAGACCCCATCTCAAACTAAAAATGAAAAACGGGATGGGGTGCAGCTCAGCATAAAAGCTCTGGGTCCGACCCCCAGCAGGGCAAAAAGAAAGGCAGTTCCGATGCACAGAGAAGAGGTGAAGGGAGAGTCAGAGTGGGAAGAGGGGAGGAATGGACCCAGGTCCCTGAAGCGCACCTTAATTTCTGCCTTCAGATCTCCAGGGTGAGAAAGAATGGATTTATGGTGGAGGTTTTCTGTGTGTGGAAATTTGTTACTGCAGTTGTAGGAAACTTGTGCAGCTGCATAATCTAATGTTTAATTAAACTATTGTGTGGCAAGATCAGTTTACCTAGACTCAAAAGTTGATGTATATCTGCAAGAATCTCAGTAAGTGTACAGAGAAGTAGATTCAGACCACTTCTTTAACTGCAAAAGCATTTATTTTCACTTAACAAAGTAAATCACACTCTGTCTTCAAGTCATCTTATAGGGTATGACCAGAGAAAATGCAAATAATTCATTGTTTTATATACTTTAAAAACATTAATAATGCTGGAGGTGCTGGTACAAACCTGTAATCTCAGCACTCAGGAGGCTGAAGCAGGCGGGAAAATCAGTCCAAGGCCGGCCTGGGCTACACAGTGGGTTTAAGACAACCCTACAAACAGAGTGAGACCCTGTCTCAAAAATCTAAAGACCACAAGTTATTAGCAGTAATATTTTGTGGGGGATGAGGTGTCACTTTGTAGGCCCAACCCCCTCTAACCTGCAATTTACAATAGCCGCCCTGGTATGCGAGAAGGAGGTAGAACGGGAATGCCTGTTCTCAGTGAGCCCTCACCCTCTGGAATCCATACTGTGAGCTGGCTTTGTTTTGCAGAAGTCTTGAGGAAGTGGCTGGCCACCCTTTGTGACACTAACAGCAGACAAATTAACAACATTCTTGAGCTAATGAATTTCTTCCTGGGCTAGAGAAGTTGTGAGAACTGGTTGTGATTATTTACTTCACTTAGATAGTTTTAGAATAAACATTGTAGTCTGTCACGTTGTAGCTTGCCACAAAGAATGCCTTTTCACTACTTAATTATCTGGGCTCTGTGAATTGATCGGGTTTACTATATATGAATCCTAAAATAAAGATTGTGCGTACAGTGCAGTGCAGTGCAATGTAACGCGGTGCAGACAGCAAAGGTGTCTCTCCTGTCTTTCTTTTCCAAGCGCTGTACCCCCCGTGTCCCGACAAGGCGTGCGTGTTTACCTTGCCCGGAGTTCAGAGTGCTCTAGACACTCACGACAAGTGGCGCCCGAATTCAGGGACTCCGAAGGTCGCTTAGGAAGGTAAGTATAATTTTATTACGGGGAAATGGGACAATCTGCTTCCTCTCCTTTCTTAAAAATTCTTAAACATTTATTATCTATATATGGCATATCGCTCAGGTCAGCTGACTTGGATATGTGTATTGATACAATTAAAGAATATAATCCTTGGTTTCCAGATGAAGGAACTTTGGATGTAGAAGTATGGAGGAAGGCAAGGGTTAGTATAGAAAGGGCTATGCAACAGGAGGAAAAGATTCCTTTACGTTTTTGGGCTATTTGGTCGGTTGTGTACTCTTTATTAAAAGCTATGGAAGATGAACATATTGTAGAAAATCTTCAACTAGAAATTAAGCCAGTTATTCAGGAATTGCCCCTCACAGAGGAGGAGCAGAATGTAGTTCAAAATGACGCTATCGCTTTAAGTAGTGAAAAGGCGTCCAAACCAAAAGTAAAATCCGCTACAGCCGACTCAGCTTTAGCTGCCGCAGCAATATCAAATTATGACAATCGCCCAATTTTACAGGCTATACAGCATTTAACACAAGAGGTGAAACAACTCTCCGTTAAGCAGAACCCGCCTGTAGTTCCCTCTGCACCTCCTCCATCTAACCCTAATTGGAGTAAAGCCAAGCTAGCTTTGGCTGATTTACCAAAATTAGGGGATTCTGATGAGGAAAAGCCTGCCTTTGCTTTCCCTGTAATCAGGCCTCAGCCAATAGATGGAGAGGCAGTTCCCCCTAGATGGGAAGCATTTAATATGGATGATTTAGCAAAATTAAAAAAGGCTGTAACCCTTTATGGCCCTCAGGCTCATTACACTAAAGAATTAATAACATCGGTAGCAGATCACTATGGTAATCTTGCTCCTTATGATTGGAAAGCCTTGGCCAAAATTCTTTTAAAGGAGCCAGAATATTTACAGTGGCACATGTGGTTTATGGAAGGTTGTGCGGAAAAGGCAAGACAAAATGCTGACGATCGAGATCCGAATATTAGACTCCTTTCTTATCCCATGCTCTCTGGTACAGGTTTCTTTGATACTGTTGAGCATCAGGCAGGAGCTCCAAGAGAGATTCATGCTCAATTAAAAGATATTGCTTTAAAAGCTTGGGATAAAATACGGCCTAAAGGATCAGAATATGGATCTTGGGCTAAAGTTCTGCAAGGAGCCAATGAACCGTATGTTGAGTTCGTTGCAAGACTTCAAAATGTTATAGAAAAAACAGTAGTGGGACAAGACTTACAAGAGCATCTCTTAAAAATGTTAGCTTTTGAAAATGCTAATGATGAATGCAAAAGGGTTTTAATTCCAATAAAAGATACTGGAACGATTGACAATTTTATAAAACAATGTAAAGATTTAAATTCAGAATCTAGGAAAATGCAACTGTTTGCTGAGACCATGGCAACCACGTGGACTAATTGGCAATCTAAAAAGGAACAGTCTTTAAAATGTTTTAATTGTGGTCAGATAGGACATGTAAAGAGGGCCTGTCCAAAACTTGTAGGCAATGATCAAAAAAAGAGATCTAGAGCTCCTGGCTTATGTCCAAAATGCAAGAAGGGAAATCATTGGGCTCGTGAATGCAGGAGTAAACAAGTTAATTCAGCTGAACAAAAGGGAAACGGGAGAACGGGCCCTACCCCGGGCCCCGGACAAATCAATGGGGTAACTCTACCGTATTCTCCCTACAGCCAGCCACCCAACACAGTGCCGCAGTGGACATACCAGCCTTAAAAGATGTAGAATTAAGAGGAGGACAATCTCCCGTGAGAATTCCTACAGGAATTTTTGGTCCTCTGCCTGCGGGAACTTTTGGCTTGCTCACGGGTAGATCTAGTTTAAATCAAAAAGGCATTACTGTTCACTTAGGAATTATAGATGCAGATTATACTGGAGAAATTCAGATTCTGATGTCCTCACTTACAGATTATAAATTATTAAAGGGAAAACGTATAGCTCAACTCATTTTACTGCCTTATATCCCAATAGGATCCTCTGTTGTTCAGCGAACAGGAGGGTTCGGCAGCACTAACCCTATTAATGTAATGTGGACAGCTAAATTATCTCAACAACAACCTCTTATTAATATTTTTATTGAGCATAAGAAAATTCAGGCTCTTATAGATACAGGCTCGGATATTACTATTGTTAAACCTACTGATTGGCCTTCTCATATTACTTATACTATTATTCCATGTAATATAAAAGGAGTAAGTAAAACTCCAGTAAATACAATTGGACAAGCCACAATGCATATACATATAAAAAATGAAGAGGGTCAAGTTGCTGTTATTAAACCTTATATCTTAGAGGTACCAGTTTCTATTTTAGGAAGAGATGTATTAAAACAATGGGGAGCTTATATACATTTTTAATATTTTGCATGTTTCTACAGCCTAGGGAAATGAATCCTTTAAAGCTTAATTGGAAAAATGATGACCCAATTTGGATAGATCAGTGGCCTATGACTACTCAAAAGTTACAGGCAGCGCAGGAATTGATTGATCAACAGCTTTTTCTACATCACATAGAACCATCCACATCTCCTTGGAATTCTCCAATATTTGTGATAAAAAAGAAATCAGGCAAGTGGAGACTTTTAACGGACTTACGTGCTGTAAATTCATCCTTAATTCAAATGGGAGCCCTTCAGCCCGGTATTCCTTTACCCTCAGCGCTCCCTGCTGGTTGGTTTGTATATGTTATAGATTTGCAAGATTGTTTTTTTAACATCCCATTACATCCAGAAGATAGAAAACGGTTTGCTTTTTCAATTCCTCAAACAAATTATCAAAGACCTTATCAAAGATATCAATGGAGGACTTTACCCCAAGGAATGAAAAATTCCCCAACTATATGTCAAATTTATGTTGATGCAGCATTAAAACCAGTGCGTGCACGATGGCCTCAGGTTTATACGGCTCATTTCATGGATGATATTTTATTCTCATATAGTGATAGAAATGTTTTAGAAGATATTTTAAAAACTTTACCTCAATATTTTTCTCCGTTTGGACTTGTAATAGCACAGGATAAAATTCAAAAGGAAGAAGTTAGTCATTATTTGGGATATATTCTTACTAGACAAAAGGTGATTCCACAAAAAATGTCTATTAGGAGAGATAAGTTATCCACTTTAAATGATTTTCAAAAATTATTAGGGGATATTAATTGGCTTCGTCCCACACTAGGTATTCCTACCCATGCATTACAGCATTTGTTTGCTACTCTACAGGGCTCTTCAGATCCATCCAGCCCTCGTTCTTTAACAACAAAAGCCGAGCAAAAATTACAGTTTGTAGAACAACGAATTAAGGATGCATTTTTAATTAGGATTGATCCTAAATTGCCTCTAACTTTATATATTATTAATACTTTTCAATATCCCTCTGCAGTTTTAGGTCAAAATGCTATGCCAGTAGAATGGGTATTCACTAAAACTAAGCAATCTAAAAATGTTATGCCTTATATTGACATGGTTGCAGCTTTAATTATAAATGGTAGAGCTCGTTCTATAACTTTGATAGGAAAAGATATAAACAATATAGTTATCCCTTTAACTAAGGAACAATGGGAATATTTGTTGTCAATTACTGAAACCTTACAAATTGCTTTAGCAGATTTCATGGGAACTTTTTCATATCATTTTCCTAAAAGTAAATTATGGGATTTTTTTAGACGTCAACAATTTGTGGTTAATACCTTATTAGCTGTACAGCCAATTCCACAAGCTTTGACTATATTTACAGATGGATCTAAAAATAAAGCTGCATATTGGACTCAAAAATCTTACTGGGTACGTCAGACAAATTTTAACTCTGTACAACAAAATGAACTTTTTGCTATATTACAAGTGTTTTTAGATTTTCATAACCAACCTATTAATATTATAGCCGATTCGGCCTATTCTGTTGGAGTAGTGACAAATATCTATTCAGCTGTGTTATATTCTAATAAGCCTGCTTTATTGTCTTTATTTCAAAATTTACAAATACATGTTCAAAAAAGAAATCATTCTTATTTTATTACTCATTTACGTTCTCATTCTCAGTTACCCGGACCATTAGTATCAGGTAACAATGCAGTGGATTCCTTAGTTATGTTCACCACACCCGTTGAAGAACATCAATTTAATCATGCAAATGCAGGACATTTGCATCTTAAATATAAGATACCTTTTACAAAAGCTAAACAAATTGTAAAAGCCTGCCCTATTTGTAGACCATTACATTTAAGAATTATTCCCGCAGGTGTCAACCCTCGAGGAACTCAACCTAATAAATTATGGCAAATGGATATTACACATGTACCTTCTTTTGGTCGGCTTTCTTATGTACATGTAGTTATTGATACCTATTCTTCATTTCTATGGGCTACTGCTCAACAGGGAGAATCCACTAAAAATGTTATTGTACATTTATTGGAGACTTTTGCAGTTATGGGAATTCCTTCTAAAATCAAAACAGATAATGGACCTGCTTATACTAGCAGAACATTTAAACAATTTTGTGATCTCCATAATATTATTCATATTACAGGGATTGAATATAACCCCCAGGGTCAAGCTATTGTTGAAAGAGCACATGGCACTCTTAAGTTACAAATTAAAAAATTAAAAAGGAGGAGTCAGGAGGATATTCAGATACCAATACTGTTTAAATTGCAAAACAGTCCAAAAACATTACTGCATCAAGCATTGTTTATTTTAAATTTTCTCAATTTACCACAAGGTGAAATATTAACAAGAGCTGAAAAACATTTTGAACAGCAACAACAGCCTTTTGTGATTAATGAACCTATTTGGACTAAAACAGCTCCAGAGGCTGAATGGGAGAGGGGCACATTGCTCTATAGGGGGAAAGGTTTTGGTTATATCTCCACAGAAAATGGAATTCAGCAGTGGGTCCCTGGACGATGGATCAGGACCCGCGTCTCCAGATCCTGTTCACCAGCCCCGGAGACAACTCCCCAAGGAACCGGAACCGTGCCTTCAGAAGCGAGCGCAAAACCAGCTAGAAGCTGAGGATGCTGAGCTTGTTCCTATCGCAGCCATGGCCAGATTACAGCTAAGAAAATCCCGCCGCTCACAGCGACCAAATTTAAATCCCCTCCCTACATGGGGACAATTAAAGAAATTGACCATAGAAGGGCAACGGCTTGTCCTTCAAGCAGGAAAGCCTTTAAACCCTGAAAACTTGTTTTTAGCTTTATGTGCCTTGCTCACCGTTGCATCGGGGACTGAGGTACCTCCGCATTCGTACTGGGCATATATTCCAAACCCCCCTTTATTAGAACCTGTAAAATGGGGAACTAGTGATATTTTACTTTATACCACACCTAGAGAAATTTTGTCAGCACCGTGGGCTGATTTAACCCCCCACAATCAAGATGATGGGACACTATTCAATTTTACTTATTATGGTAATCAAAGGCCTATTTGCATTGGGGAACCGCCTTGCATCCCTCTGGGATGGCAGTATTGGATTCAACATGGAATAAAAGCAGGCAACAAAAGGACAAGGCTTCAAGCCTTGGCTGCTCAAACCTTTAATGTTACCTGGAGAAATTTAACAGCACCTGATACAAATACATTTCCTGTATGCCCTGAATTCACTTATAAAAATATTTCTTATAATCCCATAATTTGGCAACTATGTATGGGAAAATTTGCTAAAAATATTGATGGGTATATTATTTGGGGACCATTTGGAAAATTCGTTAATGGATGTGCTGAATGGAATGAGACAAGATGTAATCTCTCTGTTGTGTATAGTCTTCCAGATCCAAAGAAAATAACTGACGGAGCTCCTATATTTCAACAAAAGACGGCTCTCTTGTGGTGGGGAGATGGTGGAATCGCTAACCCTGCTGTTGCAGCCGAAGAATACCCTCATCACCTTCAAAATCATATTTGAAAGATCCCAGCCGCTATGCAACCTGTAACCTTGTACAATGTTTCATATTCAGGGACTAGTCGATCTGTATCTACTACTTATAATTTTACTAGGTTTAAAATGTATAATATTACTGTTTGTGCACCTCTACCTTATGTCTTTTTAGTGGGAACTTTTAATTTTACACATTTTTCTTGTACTTGTTTAAATTGTCAATTGTTTACATGCTTAAATAACACACTAAATTTCACTAAGCCTTATACAGTTATGCTGTTACAACAAAAAACTCATATTTGGTTGCCTGTAAATTTAACTCGACCTTGGTCTCAAGACCCGGTAATTTCTGTTACTACTGAATTTTTTAAACATCTGTTAAAACGTACAAAAAGATTTATTGGAATAGTGGTTGCTGTACTGTTAAGTCTGATAACTGTAGCCTCGTAGAAAAATATTGGCTCTTCAGCATCAAGTGTTTTTAAAATGTGATTGGAATTCAACTACTTTCTGTATAACCCAACGACCTTATAATCAGACAGAACATGAATGGGAAATGATTAGAATGTATTTAAATGGAAACACCTCTGCCCAGGAGAAAATAGAATCTTTACATAATCAAATTGACAAGGATTTTGCAAAGCAAAATGATGATGAATCTCTAGCACAATTCGCGCAATTGCTTGCTCAATCTTTGAAAGGATTAGATTCCAAAGGAATCTGGCAGAGCATTACCCACACTTTTAGTGGCATGGGACTTAGTTTAATTATAGTTCTCATTGCCATAGTTCTTGTGTATTTTTACTGCATAAGACGAAATGCTATTAATAACCTGATCTTATGGAAATTGTTGTTAAAAAATAAAAAGGAAGGAAGTGTGGGGGATGAGGTGTCACTTTGTAGGCCCAACCCCCTCTAACCTGCAATTTACAATAGCCGCCCTGGTATGCGAGAAGGAGGTAGAACGGGAATGCCTGTTCTCAGTGAGCCCTCACCCTCTGGAATCCATACTGTGAGCTGGCTTTGTTTTGCAGAAGTCTTGAGGAAGTGGCTGGCCACCCTTTGTGACACTAACAGCAGACAAATTAACAACATTCTTGAGCTAATGAATTTCTTCCTGGGCTAGAGAAGTTGTGAGAACTGGTTGTGATTATTTACTTCACTTAGATAGTTTTAGAATAAACATTGTAGTCTGTCACGTTGTAGCTTGCCACAAAGAATGCCTTTTCACTACTTAATTATCTGGGCTCTGTGAATTGATCGGGTTTACTATATATGAATCCTAAAATAAAGATTGTGCGTACAGTGCAGTGCAGTGCAATGTAACGCGGTGCAGACAGCAAAGGTGTCTCTCCTGTCTTTCTTTTCCAAGCGCTGTACCCCCCGTGTCCCGACAAGGCGTGCGTGTTTACCTTGCCCGGAGTTCAGAGTGCTCTAGACACTCACGACAATATTTCTGTGATTCAGGGCTTCAATGACTTTTGATTTCATTTCTCTTTTGATTTTCAATATCTACATTGTTATTAGAAATTATAAATTCATTTTATGATTCAAAAACTTTAATAGATTGATTTCCTTTTTTGCTTTTAAAACTTCATTTCAACAGAACTATGCTTATAGAAATATACATATTGGTTAATAGAATACAATTTAACTTATCCCACACAATTTGGTGCATGGTTTAAGATTTTTAAAAAGATTTTCAATCTGATGAAGTACTATCTTTTCTTGTGTTGAATTTCTTGGTATCTTGATTATTATATGCCTCATGGTAGACTTTTTTGACCACGGCTAATTGGAGTTCTATATGTCTCACTTCTCTGTATGTCAAATTCTTTTTCCCTACCAGGGCGGTTTTCTGCCACAACACCTGTAAAAGGGTTTTTCATGTCATCTGTGCTCTCTCCTGCTTTTTCATTGACTCCGATAAATCTGATGTTATTCTTTGCATCATCTAGCAGCTGCTGGGTTGATTTCTCATGGTCCCTTGCTACTTGTAAGAAATCTTTCTTTCCATGGTTGCTCTCCACAACTCTGTCTTCTGTATCTGAGAGTCTGTCCTCACATTGGTTTATTCTGCTGCAGATAGTTTCAATGGAATTTTTAGTCTGTCTTATGAATCCCATTTCTTTCCTATGTTGGGCATTCGTGACTCCCATCGATCTCCTAAGCTCCTGCTCTATTCTTTCATCTGTACCTGCTCTGGAATCTCTAATCATGTTTTGCATTATGGTCACCATCTCTGAAGTCATCTGAGGAATTACTTCTGACTTGGTTTTTCTGGGGCTTCGTCCCTTTGCTATGTTGTTTCCACTTCAGAGAGGCCAGGGGCGGGGGGTGGAGTGTGGCTCTCACATTGTCCCACCTCGTTGCCCTCTGGGTTTTCTTTCCTTTGGTGAACTGGATGTCTGGATTGCATCCTGCTTAAGTATTTTCACATTTCCTTTGCTGTAATTGTTTTGTTTTTGTTATAATCCCCCCAGAAAAACAAGGCCCCATGATGGAAAACGGGACAATGTCTTTTTAAAAGAAGCGCTTTTATTTTAGCTGGCCCAGCAACACAGTGCAGATGGAATTTGCAAAGCTGTGCAACTAAGTTAGAATTTTGACTGATTTTTATAGTTCATTTATGATTAGCTCATTGATCATTAAGTACATAGTGATGAGAAACAGAAACAAGGTGGGCCTTTGTTCCCCTTTGCGTGAGGGCAGAGGCATTTCACAGTGGGTGGTTAGCCAATTCATAGCCCTTGGACTGCCAATTCCAGGAACATTTGTCTCTCATAAAGGGAACAATGGTTGACCCAGCATCATTTGTCTCTTACAAGGGGAACAAATGTTGACACAACAAACAGGTTACTGGGGTGAGGGGAATGATGCATACAGAACAGCATGATGACGTGATCAGTTAATCTATAACTGTGTAGTTGGTGCCTGGTTACTAGGGCGATAAGCATAGAGCATAACAGTTCTGTTTAATTCCTGGGCTGATGGTTGTAAATTGCCATGGTGAGTGGCTTTGTTGCCTGTATTTAGAAGCCTTAGGAAATGACTGTTTCTTAGAAGTAGGTGTAGCCAGGCTTTGGATTTTGAGTCTCTTGCAAGATCCTTCCTCTTCAGTTTGTTAGGGATAAAAGTTGCTGCCTGCTTGGCCCAGCTTCTGGTTCTTCAGCACTGTGTCACTCTATTTTCTAGACCCCTTAGGCAATCTAAGTCTCACTATCCAAGGAAAACAGCTGTTTAGAATAATTATGTCACTTTGGCTAAATCAGCAGTAAAGACAGCATCAAACAAAGCCTCAGAAGTGACAAACAGGTAACCATTAATTTATCACTTTAACCAAGTGAGCCAGATTTGTGGTATATAACAAAGCTAAAACAAACCAGAAAATTGTATGCAGTAACTACCCCCCAATATCCCACTTTTACACTCAGGGAAGAAAGTTTTAACTGGGGTAGGGTGACTGAGGATTTAGCGCAGTGTCATAAGCGCCTGCCTGGCAAGTGCAAGGTCCTGAGTTCGATCCCCAGTACCAAAAATTTTAAAAAAGTGGGTGGATGATTGGGGGGAAAGTACAGAAATAAACCTTAGAAGCAAGGCTTGAAGGACAAAGGAAGATCAGGAAACAGATGCAGAAGACAGGAGAGAAGGAGAAAAGGAAGAAATAAAGGACAAGCAGAACAGAACAACAACTACAAAAAACCCTAAAAACACGTTCACACTCATATAAAACAAGATCAAACAATTAAGAGAAAACAATAAAAATCAAAACACAAGAGAGAGAGAAAAAAAGATTTCTTTCTGCTGTCGTGGGTAGACAGTGTGTGGAGACAGCGTCCAGATCTGTGTGGATTTATTCCAGCAGCCGTCAGTAGCTCTATGGTGAGGAAGTGGGTCCCCTCAGGGAGCCTGCACCTTTACTGCCCTGAAGTTCAGGCTGGCTTCTGGCCACAAGGCTGAAACCAGACTCTTTCAACCTGTAGCAGCCGGCACACTTTCTGCAGGCTTGAACTCAGCCGGAAACCACTAGATGGACCCAACAGCTGTGCCAAGCTCTCCAGGCTGGCTCCCATCAGTCACCCTCTTCCTCAGGGTGTCCACTCTTGAAGCACTCTCCACTGGCCAGCACAGTGCTCCACGCCCTCTGCTCACTTCTGTAGCAGAAAATGGCCCTCCCACCGGTGTACTTCAGTTGCCCAGGTGACAGCTCCTGTTGCAGTTTCAGGTGCTTCTGTCTCTTAAACACCCAGCCACTGTGATAGACAGCTGTCACTGTGAAGCACATGGTAAGAACCAATTAAAGACAGCCAAGTACTCTACCTCTGGCCCCCACCTTGCAACCCCATAAAATCCTCCTGCCCTGGGCATTTGGGGCCTGATGTTTTAAGAAACAATTGGTTCTTTGTCAGTGCCTGTCTGATGTTAAATAACTCTGCCTCTAAGTTCTGGGTGCTGTCTGGTGTTTCTATTTGCCATTGTGCTTCCCTAGTGAGTTTGAGGCTGGCCTATGCTATGTAGTGTGTTCAAGGCCAGACAGAACTACATATGGAGACCCTGTCAAAAACCTGAAAACTAGAAAATAAATAAATTGCATTCCAGTGTTTATTCCTACTGAAAGGGAAAAGTCTAGCTTTAATTCTACTGGAAGAGGAGGAAGTAGAAAATAAAAAGATCCAAAAGTCCCATACAGACATTCTTTAAGTGGAAGGACTCTCAGCAGGACCAATAGGCCTGTCAATCAAATCCTTATTTTCTAGAAGAAAGGCTTCAAATCTAAATCAATTTCTTTAACAGTATTCTTACAGGGCAGTTTAAGAAGGCTTTTGTTGTTGTTGTTGGTGGTGGTTTTTGTTTTTTTTTTTTTTTTTTTGAGTCAGGATCTCACTTTGTAGTTCAGGCTGGCCTTGAGATCATGGTGATCCTCCTGCCTCAACCTCCCAAGTGATGGAGTTATAGGCATGTGCTACCACTCCGAGCTTAATAAGAGGTTTTAATTTGCCTTATAGATTTTATCATAGTGCTGGTCTTGAAGACTAGATTAAGAATTAGCTCAATTCACCACAAAGCAATTTTCTTTCCTTTGTACTATGAAATAATCCAAAGACCTCACCCCAAACAGATCCTGGTGTCCAATCTGTGCTTAAGATGAATCTTCTCCTATGTAATGTAAAAGATATGTTAGGTAAAATGTGTTCATAAACATCAAAAATAGTCATTAAAATATTTAGCTAGATTTATAAATATTTGCACCTTGATCTGCTGACAGTGGTTGTGAAAACCTCCAATTCAACATTTACAGACCCCCACTCATGCACACACCACCCTCCCCACTGTACTCCTTGTGAGCTGAGAGAACCTCTGCTCCTTCAAGCCCTCAGCCTCCCCATCCGTTCCCAGTTCAGACGCCTTCTCGCTGGGGCGTCACTCTCGGATGTTTAATGTTTATGCCCATACATTGACGCTTGTCCTAAACTTTGGTGCTGCACTGCCAAAGTCTGAACCTGCCTCAAAGACAAGAAAGTGGTGATCTCAAGACACTGGCGATCAGGACTCAAGGGAATCATACTATTTTACTACAACAAACAACACCTAACAGTAAGAAAAATCCTTTGTTGGATTCTTTCATACACTTTGGCTAAAGAACGTACAAAAGCTTCAGAGCACTCACCCTTTCCACACAGCATTCCCACAGGGACACCAGGATCCCTGAGGCTCTCTCAGCCCTCAGGGGTGGGAAGGGGCTGTCACGGCCACACCCGGGACCCAGTAAAACTTGAATCCACATGTGCAGACCTCAGCTCTCAGCTCTTCATTCAGCTGAGCAGCAATGACAGCGGGCATCCAGGGGACAAGTTCTCCACGAAGGTCCGATTTCATACTACAGTAAGAAGTAGTTGTATCAGGACAGGAAGAGCAAGCAAACAAAAGCCACGAAGCAGCCCCAACACCAGAACACCTGGTGAGTGGTACGTGAGATAAAAATTTGCTCAGATCGGAACCTAGGGATTTATTTACTACAAAATCAAAACAGGCCTGTGAACTTACCACATTCATTCAAAATAAATATGTATGTGAAATACAGATCCTGGCACAGATGTGTGAAAGTCAAAATCAGTGGCTGGCACCTGCATGTTTTATTTGCTCACCAACTTGTGCACGTTCTGAGTCCACAAAGGACAATTACAGCAGAGAAGAGAAAGTTGCCCTTTCCGGGCCAACGGCATCCTCCAAAGAGCGCAAAAGAAAAACAAAAAACAGTGTGCAACATCTTAAGCCATTACAGCGTCAAAATAATAAACACACCAAATCACTGTTTTATTACAATTGTCGTATTGACAAAAAAA